AGAAAAAGATGTTGAAATGTCTGAAAGGTCGGACACAGGCGAAAGCATCAGATCAGGAGATGGAGACCAATTAGACCTCCCTCATCCTTGGCCATATCTGAAAGAATATTTAAAAATAGTCGAAAGATTGAGCTTTCAATTCATATAGTGGCTTCTGTTTTTTACTTCTACTTAAGTAACTCAGGTTGCTCAGGTGCAACCAAAAACTTAAATAATTCAGTGTATTTTCTGATAGTCAAGAATATTAGCACTCTTACATTTATATTTTGAAATATGACCACTTAATTTTCATCAACTTAAATAAAAAAAGTGATTTGACTGACTGGGCTCCTTGTATTTAATGAAACACAGCAGTATTAGCCATGTAGAGGAGCTGCTGAACTCTTATTTCCCTCCTTTCAATATCAAACGCAGAGTGAGAATGTCATACTGACCATCTCTCCAAGCAGCACCACATTTTCTCCTCTCACGATGAAAATTCCTCTCGGGATGTCGCCAAACTTTTTCCCCACGTGGATTCGCTCCACCGTCTGGTGAAACACTAAATTGGCTGAGAAACGGAAACAGGATGCATGAAAGAAACAACTAAAACCATAAACTTCCTGTGAAAATCAAACTATTTTTAATAAATGGTTAATTTCATTGATTTTTAAGAGGCTGTACCAAACTGATCGATGCTTCTGAGGTAACCAATCAGAGTTCTGCCATCTCGGAGCAGCACCAGGTGCTTTTCTGCAAAGTAAAACCAGACATAAACACCATTAATTTAAATTATATATGTTTTAAATATGGGTATTTAAAGTCTCAGTAGAAAATAACTCTTCCAATGAATGTTTTGTGATCATGAAAGGGGAGCCGATGCTTCCAGCTTACTATCGATGTCGTCAATGAGGCTAGCGGTCCCTGGTACGTAGTTCATGTTGAGCTTCAGTTTGTTCACTTCCAGCACACTTATTTACTGTCAAGCCATTAATATTTGGAAATATAATGCTCTTAACATCAGTGCAGGAAGTGTCTCCTGCTGCTGCTTCTTGCTCGTGTCTAATGCTGGTTGACAAAGAGCTATTTGTTGCACTATACCGCCACCAAGTGGTGAGGAGTTTGTGTAGGACTTCTTCTTTTCTATTATGGCGGATCGCAAACAACCTTAAGGTGCATACCGCCACCTACTGTATGGGAGTGTAGCAACATAACTTTACATCAAGTTCTATTATTATTTTTTTATTCTATAGATAAATAAATAATGCTTTCCTTAATCTGTGAATATCCTTTATATTTCCTTCATTTCCCAATATTCCTTTAAGAATCCATTCTTGGCATGTCCTTCCAACCATTCTTCTCAATTTCTCGATTTTATGTTCATAAGTTTTACAGTTCATCAGTACATGTTCTACATTTTCTTTTTCTCCACATCCTTCACATTTATCATTATTTTTCCTCCCTATTAGATATAAATTGTCATTTAAATAGGTATGACCCACTCTTAATCTGATGATTATTACTTCTTCCCTTCTGTTTCTCTCATTAATGATTCTATTTAATATTGATTTTTGTGCCTTATACAATCCTCTTCCTTTCTTATCTTTGTTCCACCTCTTTTGCCATTTTTCCATTTCTTAACTCTTATTAGTGATTTTCCTTCCCCTTTCCTAAAAGGAATTGTAATTGCTATTGTTCCCTCTAAAGCCCTTTTTGCTAATACACTATATTGCCAAAAGTATTTGCTCACCTGCCTTGACTCACATATGAGCTTAAGTGACATCCCGTTCCTAATCCATAGGGTTCAATATGACGTCGGTCCACCCTTTGCAGCTAGAACAGCTTCAACTCTTCTGGGAAGGCTGTCCACAAGGTTTAGGAGTGTGTTTATGGGAATTTTTGACCATTCTTCCAGAAGCGCATTTGTGAGGTCGCACACTGATGTTGGACGAGAAGGCCTGGCTCTCAGTCTCCGCTCTAATTCATCCCAAAGGTGTTCTATCGGGTTGAGGTCAGGACTCTGTGCAGGCCAGTCAAGTTCATCCACACCAGACTCTGTCATCCATGTCTTTATGGACCTTGCTTTGTGCACTGGTGCACAGTCATGTTGGAAGAGGAAGGGGCCAGCTCCAAACTGTTCCCACAAAGTTGGGAGCATGGAATTGTCCAAAATGTCTTGGTATGCTGAAGCATTCAGAGTTCCTTTCACTGGAACTAAGGGGCCAAGCCCAGCTCCTGAAAAACAACCTCACACCATAATCCCCCCTCCACCAAACTTTACACTTGGCACAATGCAGTCAGACAAGTACCGTTCTCCTGGCAACCGCCAAACCCAGACCCGTCCATCAGATTGCCAGATGGAGAAGCGCGATTCGTCACTCCAGAGAACGCGTCTCCACTGCTCTAGAGTCCAGTGGCGGCGTGCTTTACACCACCGCATCCGACGCTTTGCATTGCACTTGGAGATGTATGGCTTGGATGCAGCTGCTCGACCATGGAAACCCATTCCATGAAGCTCTCTGCGCACTGTTCTTGAGCTAATCTGAAGGCCACATGAAGTTTGGAGGTCTGTAGTGATTGACTCTGCAGAAAGTTGGCGACCTCTTCGCACTATGCGCGTCAGCATCCGCTGACCCCGCTCCGTCAGTTTACGTGGCCTACCTCTTCGTGGCTGAGTTGCTGTCGTTCCCAAACACTTCCATTTTCTTATAATACAGCTGACAGTTGACTGTGGAATATTTAGGAGCGAGGAAATTTCACGACTGGATTTGTTGCACAGGTGGCATCCTATCACAGTTCCACGCTGGAATTCACTGAGCTCCTGAGAGCGACCCATTCTTTCACAAATGTTTGTAAAAACAGTCTGCATGCCTAGGTGCTTGAATTTATACACCTGTGGCCATGGAAGTGATTGGAACACCTGATTCCAATAATTTGGATGGGTGAGCAAATACTTTTGGCAATATAGTGTATATCTGCTTTTTCATTTCCTTTTACACCTTCATGTTCTGGAACCCAACATAACCAAATATCAACGCCACCCCTATATAATTAAATAGGCTGTGCTGGATTTCTAATACTAAATCTTTTCTATAATTTCCTTCTACCTGAATACTTTCGAAAACTGTTGGGAATCAGTACAGACCACTACCCTGTCTGGTCTAACCTCCTCTACCCATTCTAAGCTTATTATAATTGCTACCATTTCTGCTGGTTTGTGTTTGATATGAGTCACCAACCTTTTTAAGTCATAGGGGAGGGCTCCTTCATGGGTACTTTTTTTTATTGGAATATTTTGTTAACAAACAAATATACAGATCTTACTGACAAATGTAAGCCTTTTTGTAAGCCGTGTTCCACTTTTATAAGCTTAGTGAATCACTATGTTGTACTGACTGAGTACAAGGCATTTGCTATTACAGTTACATAACCATCAAATCAGGTTGGCTAGGTAGGGTTTTGGTGTAAAAACGTTGTCATGTCAGAGGAAGTTATAATGACATGCTGCGATGACCCCTGAATATGGGAGCAAATGAAAGGACACAAACAAAACTACTGGAAGGGATACAGATGAACATCAACTCAGCCATAATATGGCAAGTCTAATAAAATCCTAGAGTGGGTTCAGTAGGGGCTGAGCCCATAGTGCTCAAAGTCAATAGCTACTACAAATCTGTAAACTTTATGTGCACTCCATGTTAGCTCAAGCATAGTGCATAGAGTGCAATGACAAGTGCAAACAACCCAACCACTGCACACAAGGGCATTTGAGACATTTTATCTGGAATGGGGAATCCTATATCTGCTTCTAGCTATTCAAAGAAAGAGATCATGGTTGACAACTGTAAAAAAAAAAAAAAAAAAAAGAAGAAAAAAAAACATTAAAAAAAGCACTTATCTGAATGTTTTGTTTTATGGGAGCAACTATGTCAGGGGACTGTTTTTTTCAGAACTTAAGCTCTAGTTCTAGTTTTATATAGCTAAAAAAAGAAATGTTCAGTGCTTCATTATACAAACAGATTTCCGGCAGTTTTATCCCTCCAATATCCAACTTTAGTAACTGTAGGCTCCTAGAATTTCTAAAAATAGAATGGGAGGCAGATCCTTTAGTTATAAGGCTCCTCTCCTGAGGAACTAACTACCAGTTTTAGTCCTTGAGGCACACACCCTTTCTACTTTTATGGGTAGGCTTAAAACTTTCCTTTCTGGTAAAGCGTATAGTTAGAGGGACTCAGGTTATCCTGAGCTACCTCTATAGTTATGCTGCTATAGGCTTAGATTAAGGGACCCCTATTTCATTATTCTGCTTCATTCTATATCTATTCCCCACTCTGCAGAATCTGTTAGTTTAATCTCTAACGTTCTGCTCTCTCTGCTTTTTCTCAAAGTAGCTTTGTCTTGTCTGTTCCTGTTTGGCTGTGACTCCATCCTGGAGAGAAATACCAGAAATATGTGGAACTGCCATCAACACCTTTGTTTACAGATGTTTGAGATCGGCCTGTTTTTCCAGTGTAATCCTGTTTCTCTGACTGTGACTGGCTGGATGTGCTCTCTTCATCCTCTGACGTGGTAGTTGGCTCAGAGCTTGTCTGTCTGGCTTTAAAGTCAGCATTTTGAGAAAAAAAGTCAGAATTCTGAGATTAAAGTCAACATTCTGAGATTAAAGTCAGAATTATGAGAAAAAGGTCAAAATTCTAAGTTTAAAGTCACTTTAAACTTAGAATTCTGACTTTTTTGACATATTATACTGAACTAAATGTTAAAAATCAGTTAACCTTTTTTTATTTTTCAGTGTCCCTAATCCTTCTCCGTACAGAGCCGATCACGTTGTCAAAAAGATATATATCTTATTTTTGATCGCAAAAAAAAACTAAACAAAAAAACATACATGAACAATATAGAACATTAATAATTACAAATTATACTGTCAAAACGATATTTACTATGCCATAAGAATGAGACTTAGTGAGACATCTTGACATTTTGTTATCTTTTCTTTAAAGAGACAGTGCAGCATTTCCCTTAGCTCCGCCTGGATATAACTGCTTCCTGGCGTCAGTCTCCTGACCCATACTTCTGATAAGAAACCACTCCGGTAATGCCGGGGGATTAAACAAGTATCGGTGAACAAGTTTAAGGTTTTTCTCTTTATAATGACAGATGACGGGACGGCTGCCGGGAAACACGCGTAGCTAATTCCTCCCCATCAAATGCAGTCAAATCTGAAACCTGACTGGCCCGCGACTTCTAACTCGGGAAATAACCAAGGAAACTTGAACACCGCCATGGTGAGTGAATGAAAAAGGTTAGAATAACCAGACCTGCTATTGAAAATGTAATGCACCGTTTTATTTATCAAGAAAATATGTGGTAAAACAGTGTATAAATCATACCGTAGTGGCTTACGTAGAAAGCCGTTAGCTACAAGGCTAACACAGCTAGCTTGCATTATGTAATAGTTACAACTAGCCTGTCTGTTAAGCTGTTATTGTTCCTGCTATTTTTATTTATCATATTCAGCGTGCGTATAGTGGAAAATGGCATCTGGCAGGAAGCAAGTAAACTGATAAAGTTAGCGTAGTCTAGTATAAATGTAGCTGCATCGTAAAAAGGGTTTAGGAAGCGCAATAATTGATTAACTGCGATTAGATGTTGTTTGTTTAAGAGGGCACTCTGATTATAACAACCAAGGCTGTTAAACTTGAAAAGAATTTCCTTTTGTTTGTTTTTATTGTCTTTACAGGATGCTTCCCAGTATCCAGGTTACCCTTCACATTACTGGTATCCACAGTCTCAGTCCATTGGCCACTATACAAACGCATATGGCTCTGGGTCAGATGTTCAGCCACAGTACAATCCACAGGTAAGTCTCACTATGCAGCATAACCTGTTCCTCTAGTCCAGACCAGTTGATATTTACTTTGCTTTAGACTTTCTGGTATTCTTTTTCTTTTGTCCAACTTTATCCCACGTTAACATCTCTCTAGCAGTGCATTTGTACAGATGAATAGTTAAACCCCTTTGCTTTGGTCCAAGGTGATGCCTGGAGGATATCCTAATGGTCATGGAGTCTACAGTGCTGGACAAAACCAATATCCAGCAGGGGGTTTCCATCCATCCAACCCGTTCTACTGTGCTGACCCTCCAAGGAGCTCCTACCCAAACCAAGGCTGTCCGGCTGATCAGAGTGCTGCGCCTCCTGGGCAACCACACACTCAGCATCATCATCATTATTCTGGTCCACAATGTCAAGGGGTATAATGCAATTTTGAATGAAATGCATAACTTGACTCAGATCTGCTTGGTTTTATTATTCTGTAAAGGGCAACAACCAAAACAGTGACAGTATTTCTCCTAAATTTGTAACAGATTTGTGAGGAAAGTAATTAAAAACTAAGAGTTAAAAATAAGAGGTGTATGATCTTAACTGCAGTTGAGCTTTTTAACAGCTTGAGGAGTCCGCCATGTTGCAGGTGGTCTTTATAACTGAGGTCTAGTCTGTCATCTCGCTCCCTACAGCAGCTTTGTTGAATGGTTTAAGGATGCTAGTAGGAAGTGAGGCTTGTTTTGACTCTTCCTTCAATTTTTAGATGTGCCTTTGGTTCAACACACCTGAATCAAGTTATTAGTTGATTGAGAGGACTTGTGAGGAACTGACTGCATACTGAGTAGGTAACTCAGCCATTTGCTTCAGGTGTGTTTGATAAAGAAAGGATGTAAAACCTTCAGGATACCAGCCCTCAGGAACTGGAATTGCCCACCCCGGTCTATTTAATACTGATGTGTTCATCCAAACAACTCTGAAATGATAGTTAAAAACAATATTGTATCGTCTGTTTTCTCAGGGTCCTGGATACCCATCTGGACCCTACCCACACTACAGTGAAGGTGGACATGCGGTGCCTCCCAATCCTCCATATCCTACCGGGCAGCCTATTCATCATCCCAGCCCTCAGGGCGATGCCTGGGGGCACACGGCTCCATACGCTCCCTCTCAGCAGCAGTGGCACCAAGGGCAGCCGCCCTCACAAAACCACTATGTCCGCCCTGCACACCCTCCAGCGTGGCCAGGAACAGGAACCGGTGCTCCACCTCCTTATCAGCCGAAGGTCTGGATATGTGAAGTTGACTTTCAGAAGTGCATGCAATGCCTGCATAATTATTTACTCTTTTTGACATTACATCCACAAATATTGGTGTTTTTTATTGGGATTTTATAGGGTAACGTGCTAAGAGATGCTGCTGCATAGAAAGTGTTGTTTTTAAATTATTTTTATACATACAAATCTGAAAATGGTGTTCATAATTTCTATTCGGATACCACTTCTCCAATATCCCTTCATAAAGTCCAGTGCAGCTGAGTTTCTTAAGTCCTCTTAGGTTTGTTAGAGATTAGAATTGAACCGATAGCATGATGAAGACTAAAGGCTGACTTATACTTCAAAACTAGGTGTCGCGGTGAACGCAGAGATGTCCCCGCACCCTCCGCAGACACTCTGCTGCACCTCTCCCAAATTGTAGGTGACTGCAGACAGAAGGACTCTGATTGGTGATTTTTCCCCTTTTGCATTGTGGCGTGGAATAAACATATCGCAGACTACACTTCAATATTCAGCAGGGCAGTCATGCGAGACAACCAGTAGTTCATCTTCCAGACACTGAGCTACAGTTAAGCGGTTTGGATTGGTACAAACCTCAGACCCAAATTCAGCTGGAAATCTTTTACAAGATTTGAAAACTGTTTTTCATAATTTACCTCCATTCAATTGAACTCAGCTTTCAATTTTACAGATATTTCACAAATTTTAGTCCCTAGATATGCAGAGCTGGTAGAATCATTCACTAGTAGAAGTTTCTACAAACATTTGACTCACATGGGCCTAATATGGATCAGACTTTTCAGGATTCTATTTGCCAAAAAAACGAATCTGTGCAATTTGATGTTATCGGATAAAATCCCAACAGAATGCAATAAAGTTTGCTTTTGTTATATAAGAAAAGGTGAATTCTTATGAAATACGTTATTCTTTTGTTTAATTTTGCATTAAAGGCACAAGTCAAATGTAAAAATGATTATTTTTTCTTTTTTTAGGAGCAACTGCACCAGCGAAACCCTCAGGTGGAACCTAAACCCAGGCCAGCACCCTCTCCAAATCCCCCCAACGGAAAACCTGCTGAAATAAGTTCTCCTCCCCAGATTTACAGCAAAGCCGGGCGAAGTGATCCCAATCCTTCTCAAACTGATCCCCAACCAGCGGCTGCTCAGGCTGCACCTCAGCCTCTGAGCGGCAACCCCGGGCTAGCTAAGGTCCAGCAGGTCATGGCCAGGGTTCAGCTGCTTCAGGAAGACGTGGATGAGTTTGTTGGGAGAAAAACAGACAAGAGTTACCGGTATCTGGAGGAACTGCTGACCAAAGAGCTGCTGGAGCTGGACTCTGTGGAGACTCAGGGACAGGACAGTGTTCGACAGGCCCGCAAAGAGGCGGTGCAGAGAATTCAGGCCATTCTGGACCGGCTGGAGAAGAAGGCCTTCTAAAGTGGACTTTGTCTGCCTGTTGATCACTTATTCTTGTTTTTCTTCACTTAGATCTTCCATGGAAAAATTGAGGGTTCAGTCTCCTTCTGCAGAGATGTAACAATGTTTCCTTACAAAATGTCATAATTTAGAGAAAATGACATAGACCCCAAGTAAAGATGCAATTTTGATCTAAATATTAAACCTCCTTTGAGGAGTGGTTTTGCCTACAGCATAAAACTTGTCCATCATAAGTGACTTTCAGCCTCTGTGAGTGACTGAGCTCGCTACGCGTCCCGATACTCTGGCTCAACACATCTTTACGTCACGCCCTCACCAACATGGCGTCCTGCTACACAGCAGCTGTTAATGTTTATTAAGTCATTACACATTTAGAACATTGTCTGGATTTGTGGTCCGATATCATTGGATCATTCTTGGAGCAAAACACACCCTTTCTCAGCTGATAATCAGAACATCTGCATGGTCATACTGTTGTCCCCTCCTGTGGCGCCGTCTCTGCAGCAGTTGTTGCAGTGGTTCTTTTAATCTCTCAGCCTTGCATGCACTGTAGTGTCAGATAAGCAGTCTCAGCCTATCACTCAGCCCATACTGTAGCAGATTATTGAAAACCCCCTAAAGATCGCTGTCCTCATTACTTTTGCCGTGGCAGTGGAGTCGTACAATTAAGACCTACATGTGAATTCTATGTATTTCATTCTAGAAGCTAAGGATAATAATTACTTTTAAAAGTAGATTTTTTTCATACTCTCTTTTAAAGTAAAAATATGAAGCTTTAAATATTTCAATCAAGGTTTATCCTTAAAGGCAGTGTTGAGTACACCAGTATGCACAAAGGTTAAGTTGGTTTATTTGTCTAGAGCAGTGATTCCCAACCGGGGGAACTCGTACCCCTAGTGGTCCGTAAGTGCATTGCAAGGGGTACATGAAAATGTTTAATTTCTTAGGTAGTAGAATAAAATGGATCTGTGATCTATCTTGGTTTGTGAGGACTCAGTTGGACAATTACACAAGTTTTTCTCACGCATCAAAACCAAGCAGAAGAACAGATTGGATGTAGAGAACAGCCTGGTATCAGCGGTTTTTCATCAAAGCAGCTCAGGTGTCTTGCTGAAAACAAAAAATTAATTGGGTCTGTCTGACTATAATTTTTGTTCCAAATTCATCAAATTTAAATCTGACTATAACAGAGTTACTCAGAAGAGCTCCAGTTTTATAAATACAGATTTATAATATGTTTTTATTTTGTATTTATTTCGATTCCTTACTAACTTCAAGGCAACATATTTTTTATTGTATTTTATTTTTTTGAGATTGAAAGGTTAAAATGCCAAAGAATTAAATGCTCAAAAGATAAAAATTTTTTATTTTATTATCCGTTATTGTATGTTCCACTTTTGGACAATCATCAGGAACTCATAGTGAGACAAAATGCCTAAAGGGGAACATTAGTCAAAAAAAAGGTTGGGAACCACTGGTCTACGGCACAAATTCTTGTTTAAGCTGTGTATGTGCATCGCTTTTCCCTTTTTTTTTTCTTCTTTTTTTTTGTTTATTCCCCTGTTTAAAACAGTCATGCTGATTTTTTTATTTTTATTTTTTTCAAAAAGAAAAAAGTGCCATATTTGTTATGGTGATTTTTTTTTATACATATATATGATCAGAAAGAAAAATATTAAAAACAAACAAAAGGTTTGCATGGAAAACAACTTTTTTTTTGCATTATTTTCGTTGATATATATTGTTTCCAACACAAGATGCAAGATGGAAATCTTTGTCTGGAGACTATTATTAGTCAGCAAAAAAATTTCCTTTTTTATAGTTTCCTTATTAAGTCACTCTTTAAAACTCTAAACTACATTGATGTATTTTCTTGGAAAAGCAGCTATTCTGTGGCATACAAAACTGAATTGTCCTTTCTTCCATCCAATGGAAACTTGCCCTGGGGCCACACTCTTCCAGCCAGTGTTCGCATCTTTAAATAGGCTGCTATTTTAATTTAAAAGCATAACTCAAACCCCTGAAGGCTTGAGGCATGCAGCCTAGATTCAGCGTAAGGGTCAAATGTCCTTACAACACGGAGATCCGGTGTTTCTGTGAGTAAATCAGAGGCTTGAGACTAAAATCCCCGGTGTTGTTCAGTGTGTTGTGTTCGTCAGAGTGGCTGCAGAGGATTCCACCGAGTCTTAAAGCTGTTTAAAAAAAACAAAACAGCAATATCTACTTCTCATTTTATTTTAGTGGATCAACTTTTCCTCATTTGAAATTTAGCTGAGTTGTGAGAGGAAGCAGCAATGTCATACAAATCCAAGCTTCCAGCTTCCTGGAATGATGAGCGACCGTGTCGGAAAGTGGAGATTGATCTTAGTTCACCTGGTTTGGCGGTGTTCGAGCTGGAGAGACTCCTGTTTACAGGCAAAGCCATCATCAGCCATGCAGATGAGGTTTGGCCGAGGCTTTACATTGGCGATCAGTAAGAATTTCATCTTTTCCTCCAGTTTTTTTTCCTTTTTAACTGCACAAGCATCTTTTATTTTTTTTAACTACTTTGAAATATGTATAAAGTTGTGTGTGAAACCGAAATGGATCGTAAATTAGTTTTAAAAAGGAAATGAGTAACATAATCCTTGTCAAGCCATGAAAGCATACTCTAGTCTTGGTTGGTTTCCCTTTAGCATACTTCACATGGTCTACATATCAGACAGTCACTTTCAAAGTATTTGCAAGCTTAATTTATCGGGCTTATAAAAAAATAAATGGTTAGCCAAAGGTTTTCACATCCAGGTGCCTTTAAAAGATAATACAGCTAAAAAGAAATAATAGAAAGAGAAACTCATCTAGCTTTTATATTGGAGTGAAAGTTAAATGAATGGAAAACAAACTTGTTTTAAACAATGATGCAACTAAAAAAACTTTGTTAAAATTAGTCTTCTTGCCTCTACATAAAATTTAGTTCAGTTTTACTTTCTATCTGCTGAAGATTTTTTGAATTTTAGAACTTAGCTTGGTATACAGCAAACATTAAAAGTTGTTACTGGAGGGGACATGATGCTTATTCTAAATACTGGTTGGTAATGTGTGTTACTGCACCCTGAAGGCGCCTTTGGTTATTCCCAGTTCTCTTTGCCTCTTTCAGTAACACTCTAAGGCTGTGTTCGATTTCAGCAGCTGCGTCCTGCAAGGACCTGTTCTACTTGTACTGGGTCCTTTTAGGGGCGAGAAAGTAAGGAGGACGAAAGAGTTTCGCTTTGGATTCATACAGGTCCAGCCTTCTCCGGCGTCCAATGCCCCTCACTCAGCGTACACTGTGTTGCCTAGCAACAGTGACAGTCGACACATAAAGCAGGAAAAGAATGGATGCCAAACTTCTCACTGTTGTTCTGTGTCTTAATAACATTTTCAGCAGCAGTACCGTCATCACAAATATCAGATTTATAGTCCCCACGCTGCAGACATAGCGATCTGAGCTTAAATATCAGTCAAACCAATTTGCACAGGGAAACATAAAACCTTACAATAAATCAAACATTACCCACCAAATATGTGACTCACCATTTAAAACTGTTATTTCCATTCATTTCAGACAATTCACATACTTGTATTATATAAAACTGAGCTTACTATATTTACCACCGTTTGGCGCCATTTCCCTTTTACCTCTGAAAACGGAGCAGCCAGCTTGCTTGGACTCGCAATGAATCATGGGATACCCAAGGCTACGTAGGACACACCATACCTGTCCTTCCAAACAGGCGAAAAGAAGGGTGTATTAGTTGGCATAAAGAGGAGTCTTCTAATCCAAACAGGTCACGGCACCCCGCTATGAACTAATTGGCTAACGAATCTGACCTTTGCAGGACGCAGCTGCTGAATTAGAACTCAGTATAAATAACACTTTTTCTTACAGGGCTTAAACATTTTTTAATTGAGCTTATTAGAGAGAAATGCAGAATTTTTTACATCAAAATAATGGAGATAAGCCCTGAAAATCAGGTTCTTTAGGTTCTTACTGTGTCACACCAAGTTGCTGCCTTTCTGATAGGCTGTGTCATTATTTTAACACCCCTTATTATTCTAAATTTGATATTAGAAAAATATTAACTATGAGGCCCTCAGAGCATGTTTTTGCCATTTGTGCAGGAAAATTCCTCCCAGATTAGGCAGACAGCCTTTTACCACAATACTTCTTATTTAGTCTTCCACTGGATGTCAGAGTTCATAAAGATAGCCTAGGAGCATGGAAAGATACATAAGATGAAGGCCGTAGCTTGACCGATGGGCTGTTACAGCTTATTTCCCTTTATGACATCATAAGAGGAGATAAGCCCAAATTTTGAGCACACTCATCAGGTAAGAGATGGAGATAGGTAATAATAGAGGAACTCTCTACCACCCCAACTTCGAAATACGGACTCAATTCTCCATTTTAAAATGCAACTCAAAACCCATCTGTTCAAGATTGCTTATTCTCTTTAAAAAATATCAATTTTACTGTCACAGCCTCTGTATTTTTTTAAATGTCTTTATAATTGTTATTTTTATTTTTTCTGACACTTTTTACGTTTTTGTACGGTGACCTTGAGTGTCCAGAAAGGCGCCTTTTTAAATAAAATGTATTATTACTATTATTAAAATTTTTTTTTTTTTCATTTGGGAACCTCATACACGGGCTTCAGGACACGAAAGTTACGAAAGCTTTATAATGGGAATTTTGCATAATATGGGACGTTTAATGTCCAATCCAAATGTTATACTGCTTGCATTACAGGCCTATGTCCACTTTAAGAGCGGCCTTTTTCTTGATGTAGACATATCTACAGTGCTAGCTAAAAGAATTAGCACCCCTGCAATTCTGTCAGATGCTCAGTTTCTTCCAGAAAATGATTGCAATTGCAAATGCTTTGTTATTAATCTATTCATTTATTTTGCTTACAATAAAAAAGACAAAAGAGAATTTAATTTATCAATTATTTCCCTCAAAACTCAAACAGAATAACTAAACAACTGCTTCTGGTACACATCAATGTGTTTCTTACAATGCTCTTGTTTGAATTGTAGACCATTCTTCTTTCGCAAACTGCTCCAGATCCCTGAGATCTTCTCGCAGGTGTTGTATGGGATTCAGGGCTGGACTCACTGCTGTACACTTTAGAAGTCTCCAGTGCTTACTCTCAAATCACTTTTTTGTGCTATCTGAAGTGTTTTGGGTCAATGTCCTGCTGGAAAAACCAGCACCTCTGAGGCAGACCCAGCGTTTTCACACTGGGCCCTACAATGCGCTGCAAAATTAGTTATTCAGACGTCAAAATGCCACGCACACTGTCAAGCAGTCCAGTGCCAGTGGCAGAAAAGCAACCCGAAAACATCAGGGAACCTCTACCATGTTTTACTGTAGGAGCGGTGTTCCTTTCTTTTAAGGCCTTGGGTTTTTTTCTCCTGTTAACTCTATGTTGATGTTTTTTTCCCGAAAAGCTCTACTTTTATCTCATCTAACCAGAGAACATTGGTAAATTTTTGGCAAACTCCATCTTGTCTTTTATGTCTGGGTTAGAAGTGGGGTCCTCCTGGATATCCTACCATAGAGTCCCTATTCATTCAGACGCCAACTGATAATTTACACAGGAAAAAAATCCAAATACAGTCAAGCCATTTTCACCTTACATTAAAATAAGAAAAAATAATTTCATTGTATTATTTCAAATGGATATTATCTAAATATCTTATTTTAAGAGTGAAAATACTCATTCCATTTGCCAATGGAATGAAATAATTTACATTTAAAATAAGAAAAGAACAACTGCAGCCTCATATTTCAAATGCAATATCTAAATATTTTACTTTAAGGGCAAAAATGACAGATCAACTCATTTACCTACTCAAATTAAGGGTAAATACACTTATTTTAAGAATTCTTTTCTTATTTCTAGATTTTTTTTTTTTTTCTTCAGTTCACTGTTGTAGCCTCGGACTGCAGGATAGCATGAACTTGTTTGGATGTAAGTCGAGTTTTATCCACCATCCGCACAATTTTTTTCTGAAATTTCTCATTTTTTTCACTTCTGTCCACATCTAGGGAGGTTTGCCATGGACGTTGAGGTCTTGGCCATTAGATTGCCAATGCTTCCTCACAATTTTGTTTCTCAAGTCCTCGGACAGTTCTTTGGTCTTCTTTCTTTTCTCCATGCTCAGTGTGCTTCACATAAAGACACGGGACTGAGGTTTAGTCCACTTGATTACATTTTGACTGCAAGCGTGATTTAGTTATTGCCACCACCTGTAATGTGCCACATGTAAGTAAAAGGGGCTGTTAATTACACAAATTAGAGAAGCATCACAGGATTTTTCAAAGGCTGCCAATACTGTTGTCTGCCCCCTTTTGTCGTGTTGAGTGTGCAATTATATGCAATTTGGCTTTTTGCCAATTTGTATTTGGGATTTTTTTGTGCAAAATAAATGGTCATATTAATACCAATGTATTAGTAACTGCAAACATTTTCTGGCAGAAATTGAGTATTCTTTGACAGAATTGCAGGGGTGCCAATACTTTTGGCCAGCACTGTATGTACGCTTTTCATTCTTATTATCCTAACCTTGTGACTTTACAGTGATGATGGTAACTTTTATCCTGACAAAAGAGATCTGCTTCAAATAACATGGAACCTGGAAAAAAAGTAAACATTAGAATTTAGGAAAAACTAGAATTGATGGAGCAGCATGCATTTCTATAATATTTAACAAAATAGGTACTAAAGAGTTTAACAAGCCTTTCTGTGAATGATAAAGGTTTCACAAATAAAAAAAGGAAAAATTATTTATTCTAGAATTCATTTAGCAATGCAATTCAACTTTTATTGTTTTTATTTTATTGTATTTATAATATTAACATTTGCCCATATATACATAAATATTTTTTGTCTGCCTGATAAGTTATTAAATGTTGTTAGTCACGCCACTCAGTACATAAATACTTTAGAATAAAATGTTTAAAATAAGAATTTCAGGTTCATAATATTGAATTATCATCTCTATCAAATTAAGGGAAAATATATTCATTCTAAGAATTTTTTATATGTATTTTTAAAAGAGTTTTGGCAGTGCTGAAACTTTGCCTCCAATTTTTCTGTGTTTTTAAGATTGAGTGCAGAAAACCAGGCAGATCTATCGAAACATCGCTTCACTCATGTCCTGAATGCAGCTCACAGTAAAAGGAGAGGGCAGCCAGGCATATATGAGGGACTAAAGATCAACTACATGGGCATAGAAGCACATGACTCCTGCAACTATGACATGAGCACCAACTTTCAGGCTGCTGCAGACTTTATCCACAGAGGACTAAATGCAGGAGGTTAGAGAAAATAGATTAACTTGGACACATTTACACTCTGTTTAAGAAGAATATATTTAAATCTCATGTTTCTCTCTGATTTTCAGGCAAAGTTCTGGTACACTGCCATGTTGGTGTCAGTCGCTCTGCCACTCTGGTGCTGGCTTACCTCATGCTGAAGCAGAAGCTGACTCTAGTGGAGGCTATTTGTGCTGTGAAGGACAATCGGGGTGTGATCCCGAATCGAGGTTTCCTCCGACAGCTCATCCAACTGGACAAGCAGCTCTTTGGCAAACATCATTAAACCATAAGGAACCAAGCTTTCATTTAAGCGCCATCGTCTCAGATCTGTTCACTTCTACTAGTCTGGACTAAATATTTGCAGAGAAGAGATAGCAGAAACATAATGATTAAAATGAGCATTTTAGATAGATTTAAAAAAAAAAATTTTTAGTACAGGCATCGAAAACAGTTTCAAATCCCAAAATGAAAGCAAAGTAATTAGTAACAATCCTCTTCTTTGACATAAAGACATGCAGATGGCCTGTTTGTGAACCTTGGTGTTGATCCAGTCTATGAATAATCTTCTGGGTAAAGAAGACATTATTTCCTTTATGCCATTATCCTAATTTCAATATAGTATACAATTTCCTGCAGTTCAAGAAACACACATTTTAACTATTTATTAAACCCTGGAATAATCGGACAATCTGAGGTAAATCAAAGACTTACACAGGTAATATTGAAACAAATCACAATGCACAAAAATGTAATTCTAAGTAGGTAATTTTTTCTTAAAATAAGTGATTTTTTTCTTTAATTGATGACGTAAGTGAGACACTTTGCCAATGAAACAAGGTATTTACATTTAAAATGAGAAAAACTGTAGTCTCTTATTTCAAGTGCATAATATCTAATTATCTTATTTTAAGGGTAAAAAGGCTGATTCCATTGAAGGGGTAAATACACTTATTTTAAGATATTTTGACTCATTATCAGAACGTTTTTACAATTCACCTATCGTCTGTCCAAAAGTCTCAGATTCTGACCAAATAAAATCGAATTTTCTGCTAGAAAACCCCGACAAAGGTTTTCCAGAAAGGTAACCTTTTGTCCATACTAGATTTTAATGTCCGCCACAAAATAATGATGTATACTACAGCTTTGAGACACTTTTTATGGCTTGTTTCTTAATTTGGACCTAAGTATGACCATCTGCCCCAGAAATACGTCTTTTAAACTGTACTCCAGAGAGGGTATTTTTGTTTAATTATGAAGGGATCTAAATGGAGAACATGGTGGTCATGCCGAGAGACATGACCAAATAGCACCAAGCAAGTATTAACTTAATTTTTACATTTGGTGCTGTTTTACTCAGTTAAGTTTCTATATTTGTTACCCATTTGATCTTGAAATTCCAGTCCGCTTTATTTGCTTTAAATTTCTGTATGTGTTGGAGGGAAAGTCCATTTTACCAGGTAGGATTACTTCTCTGCCTGGCAACTCTTTGTTCTGAAAAGCAAAGAGTGGAGCCATGTCAATGAGCCGGATGAAAAGAGTCTTGTGAATTTTGGATGACATTTTTTTAAATAAATTTCCTTCATTCTCTGAGGTGAAGAACAGGACTCTTCATAAAAGACCATCAGACAACAGGAAGGTCTATACTTTGCAAGTTAGTGAATTGAGATTAGATCATTATAGCAAATATAACCTTTTTTATTATTCAAGTTACTCTCTTTATAGCAAATTCCATAAAGTTTCATGACATTTAATTTAGGAAGTATTAAACCTTTAACACGTGTACTATATAATCTTCCCACTAGATGGCAGCAAACCACACTTGTTTTTTTTTGTTTTTTAGTTAAGCAACTAGTTAAGTAGGTATATTACATTAGCCCCCAATGTGATCCATTGAAGAAAAAAATATATACTAAAAATAATACGTAGCAAGCACTTAAAATAATGTGGTAAATTGCCTGTATACTAGTTTTAAAGCAGAATATGGACTATGAGGATTTTAAAGATCTTCACAGAAACAGATTTTCAATCATTCATACACCAAATTACTCATGCATAAAGTACAATGTCCAAGGAGCTTTGAAACCTGATAAACTTTAATTGAATTGGCAGATGTTATTATTTTTCTGTCTGACCAAAATACAGCATATTTCCCCCATCATTAGGACAGATTGCAATAAAATAAATATATTTTTTATATATTTAAACCAATGTTTTGCTCTGTTCATATGAAAGCCATCAACAGTTGAGTTAAAATTTTGTGCAGGACTAAACCATAATTCTTGCCTTCCTTTAAATTGTGTTAAAACTAGCAACCCATATTCAGTCATTTTAAGGTATTGCATTATATTCTAAAAAATTCTTGATGTGAAGCTGGTTTTATCTTGTAAAATGAATGCATGTGTGAAATACCTTGAATGTGCAGAAGATAAATATTTCATCACTTAGTTTTATTCAAAAATATACACAATGGGGCTGAGTTCATAAAAATACATACATGCATATATTTATATGACAGCTAAATTTTAAAAAAGCAGGATTGTTATACAGGGTTATTGCACAGGGTATATACATTGGTATTTATATAGATGTGTATGTATATAACTATTGAATTATGTATTAAAAATATCTAAAAAAACATTTATGTTAGCACTGCAAATATACAGTCATATGTTTATATTACAATTTTTATGTATTTATTACTGTTTTAAAGGTTGCAGTTAAAAAAATGAAATTGTCTAGAGCTATTTTAAATGAAATTTAATGACAAAATAAATCTGTTTAAGTCTAAGTATTAAATATAAAGAAACAGTTTATTGCACAGGGTATTAATACGTAATTACATATTATACATTAAGCAAACAAATTAGATTAAAATAATTTGAGATAGTGATCAATTACCGGTAAGTAGAATTGAATTACACTAAGGCTGTATCCCAATCCATAGCGGTTGGTGGCGGTAGTGCTCCACTTTTGTTTTTTGCCAACCGCCAAATCATCTCTACGTATAAGAAGAAGAAGAAGACGTTAGTGGAGCTGTGATTGGATGGCCGTCGGTTAGTTTCAAACATGGCGGAACCATCAGCTAAGGAGCCGCTAACTGGAGCATATTTTCACAAAGAAAGGAAGAAATACAGCCCAGAGGAGGAGGCCAAGCTGGAGCGGCAGCATTTCTGGAGAATAATCGATGCATTTCGGTCTTACAGGTGCTACAAACAGAATCTACAAAGTAAAAGACGAGCCACGAAGCTTTGTTTTTGTGTCGATTCGTCGTGGTATTGTTGTTGTTTTGCTAACAAGGACACGGGAACTATGCTAAAAAAATGTCTGTCGTTAAAGAAGTTTAGTCTTTGAGCACTTGGTGATGTTTTTATTTTCCTTCCATCAGGTTTCATGTCCAAGAGCAGGTCAAACGGGCTGAGCGTCAGTTTTACAGCCTGTCGCAAAGGCACCAAACGATGCTACCCGGTGTTCTGGCCAACCTTGGTCGGATCATGCAGTGCGCCGAACACAACCAGGATGTCCTGGAGGCTATCGTTCACAACAGCCTTCACATGTTTGAGAACGTGGAGTATGGGGAAAGGGTAAGCTTTTCAGTTTTGGATGGTTATTGTTCAATGGTGATCATTATAACCATCACTGTTCCCAACAACCTCAATCAGCTGTTACATTCATGCTGATTTTTACACAGTTCCTACCTTAGACAGTTAAATAACATGCTGCTGTCATTTTGCACATCTCTCATGTTGCTGCTATTTTCAATATCCATCACTGTAAAAATGTCCACAGCTATATATTTATTTTTCTCAAGGTTTTATTCTTTTACACTTTTTATTATAATATTTTGCTATTGTAATAGCAGAATTTCCCCATTGTGGGACAATAAAGGGATTTTCTATTCTATCTGATTTGATTGAATTTAAGGCGGTAAAGCATAATGTCTCATAAAGTATCTCTAATGCATTCCTTAGCTTCTTATGTTTACATAGTCATAAAGGGCGTGCAGATCTCAGTTTGAAATCCATCCAGGTGTAGAGATAGAGCCCAATCTGCAACACTCTATTATTTTATAAGCTGGCTGACCTGCAATAACCTCATGAGATGGCACTGAAAACTGTGTTATTTCCATAATGTACAGCGGATGTCTTCAACAGGGGGTCCACGCAGGTACTGCATGGGAGTCGCAAAAGTTTTGATTGATTAGTTTTTTGTTTTTTTTATATTCCCCCATGCAATTTTTTCCACTAATTGAAATATCTTTAAATACACATTAACATGAATTTAACACACTGTAGTAAACAGATAAATGGAGGCAGAAGATGTCTTTCAGTCATCAATGCAAACATTCAGCGACACACAGGAGCTCTTTCAAGCTGGGCACGGTTTCATTCACAACACCTGTCCCATCAACCAGGAATCCTACTCAGAAATACTTTAAGCGTGAAATTATTTTCGTTACATGACTCTATATGTAGTAGAGAGACTATAGGACCAGTTTATAACACAATTTCATACAATATATATGATTAGGGGGTCCCTGCTCCATCACGCTTTTAGTTTGGGGATCCTCAGCCTGGAAATCGTTAAAGACCCCTAATGTACAGCATATACTTTCTGTCTGTCGCGCTCTCTATCTTATATATTCATGTGTGTATATGGAGCCATAGTGCAGACATTTGTTGAGTCTGGCTTTATCCTGGCTTAGCCTAAGTCTTTGTCTATATCTCAGACAATGCTTCAGTTCTGGCATAGAGGAATTTTTGGCCTGGTTTCTTTCTGATTTTGGTCTAAGCTTGATTTGATTCTGTTTTCGATTTAGTTCATTACTGTTAGAATAATTATCATTGGAGATGTGTCAGTTTATTACACCTTGGTATTGGCTGCCTGTTGCGTGTCAGAACTGATGTTTTAATCTAATTAGGATAGTTCCTCTGTCTGGATATACAGTTATAGTCTTCCTTCTGTACGTGGCAAAGATTTGGAAATGGAATGAGAGCGGTGTCCTTCAGCTAAGAATGAAGTGTAGTATGGATGTCTAATCATCTGCTAACATATATGATGTAAAATAAGATGAAGTGGCAGACTGGAGATGTATAAAATGTCTTTTTAACTGTTAATCGGGGCCACTTCCTGAGAGGTGAGCATCTGCCTTCTGTACATTCTAAGCAATTTCTCTTATCTGAGTTAGATTACAATTTCTATCAGAATCTGTTGTCATGTCTCCTGGTTATTTAATACATATAAGTGATTAAATGTTATTTAAAGTTTGTCCCGATTGATCTCTTTTCAGGGAAAATAACAGAACAGATAGAGCATCAAGGTGCTTCTAACTACCATCATAGATCAGATGAACAAAAATCTTCTTACCTTTATAAAAAATGCAAGTAAAAAAAAACTATATGTTCGCTGATATCACTTGATGTCCTCCTGCATGACCACTGAAACTCGGGCTAACCTGTGTCTCTGTTTTTTTTTATCTTCAGTTTGTATTCATCAGCCTTTTCTGTAGACTGAAAAACCTTAAAACATTGCTCTGTTGTACTTGAACAACCTTTGACACAACATAAATGAGCCATTTATTTTTTAATAGAAATTAAAGATGTATCTGAACAAAACCTTGTAGCTTATTTCTGTTTTGATTAAAGGTTTTGGTAATGTATAAAGGGTTACAGAAGTAATTGTTCTTGATAACTTCTGCCTAAATATTTTTTCTGGTTAGCAGTTTTATTTACATTTAAAAGCACAATTACTCTCTCCTCATTGGAATGTCATTATATATTAATTGTGCTGTCTGCTGAAAGTCTTGTTCAGCTGTTTCCGCTTTATGATTTTAGGAGGATCCGAGAAAGACACGCCCATCCTCTACTTTTGACATGGACAAACTGAAATCCACCATAAAGCAGTTTGTCAGAGACTGGAGTGAAGTAGGAAAGGCTGAAAGGGACACTTGCTACAAACCCATCATCCAAGAGATCCAGAGGCTCTTCCCAAGTGACCAGTGGTAGGGATTGTAGCTGCTCACTTTTACAGCTAAATGCATGACATTTAAACTACAACACATCTATTTAACTTCAGTCTAATTAGGTTTTCACAAACCATGTTTAAAAAAAAAGTCACGTGTTTTCTATGTGATGTGTGCATTGTTTTGCGTTTTATTATATCAGTGATGTGTCTAAGGTGAGCGTGCTGATTCCTGGTGCGGGGCTTGGTCGACTTGCTTGGGAGATAGCTCGGCTGGGGTACGCATGCCAGGGCAACGAATGGAGCTTCTTCATGCTTTTCTCCTCCAACTTTGTTCTCAACAGGTAAAGCATGGAAATTAGCTTCAGTGATCAGAGTTGGGCTTTTATTTGAAATTGGTTCAATCTCAATTCACATTCTTTATATAGCCTTAATTCACATTACATATAATTTCAAGGTACTTTACCGAGATGAGTTAATCAAATAATTCAGGCCAGCAAGCAGAATCATAGTTAAACACACTTCTCTGCAGTACAGCTTCGTTACTGTTAACCACCCATTACTCTATCCAGACAATGTCTTGCTTACAGTCAAAATCACGATAATCTAATGAAAATTAAAAAGACTCCAATTAAGAAAAATTTTAAATGGGGTTTGTAAGACATTTCTCTTTAAATGTTAATGACTTGATCTGATATCTCATTTATGTTGTCTGACAGAAACCTGGCTGCAACAAGAGGATTATGTTAGCATAAACTAGGAAACCCCCTCTATCTATTTGAATTTATAAATGCCCAGGAATTCTGGGCGAGGAGGACGAGCAACAATCTTTGAGTCTGACTGATTGATTCGCTCGAAGCCAGTTAACAGTTACGATTCTTTTGAACATTTAACCCTTAAACTAGCCTGATAAACCAGACTAAATGTGAGATTAAATGTGTAATTTAGTCTGGCCCCGATGAGATATCGGAAGATCGTGGATGAGAACAACCCATTGTTTTTCAAACCGCTGTCTGTGCCTATTGGCCAACGCTCTGACCAATTATGGCAACTGACTGTGACGTAGGAAGCGTGACAGGAATCTGGTGGGGGAGTGTAAACAAACAGCCTGTCATTAAAACTGCGAATACGTTCCTCTTAAAAATGAATAAGCGTAGAGCCTCTTCCTGCTCACGTTTCAACGAAACCCCCAAGTCTAATCCTTCCAAAACTGATTCCCAAGCTGAGTCAAAAATCGCCATCAGAGGCAGCGGTCTTTCACACACGACTATGCCGAGCGAGGGCCGCTGCAGACGGTCTGCTTTTAGCCCTGGCTGCCGTTAGCTTCGGAGATCCGCTGGTTGCCCGATCCTCTCAACTTCGGAAATTGTTTTATTAATTATGCATTAAATCGGTAAATGGACCATATAGTGATGCTTTAAAGTATAATATTCTCGCCTCAAATGATCTTAAAACGTACTTTCATTGAGCAGAACAGAAAATAGAACTTTTAACTTTCAACGGAGCGCTCCATTAAAAGCTGCTGCTGCAGCAATGCTTGCTACTGTTCAATAGTTGTTGCCATCTTCCATGTTGTGGTTTCTCCAGCATTGTGCAGCTTTGTCGTCCCGCCCTCAAAACCCCGCCCACTTTGCTTCCAAAAATTCAAAACGCGTGATTAGCCCGCCAGTTCTAGGGCCTGGGCCATTGATCGAGGCTAGACCACTCGCAGGCAAAAATGATTTTGGCCGCTGCCGGGTGGTGCTACTTTTCAAGGCTACCTTTAAGACTCTTTTCCACTGAAATTAGTGGGTTGATGCAGGTTTTTCAAACATGGGTCGACTCGCTAACATTCAGGAAATGGCTCCTTTCCATTGGCAAAAAAATGCCGGATTTGACCCCTGTTGGCAAGCTGCATGGCCTCTGTTCCCCCACTGCTGCAACTTTGTTGATGCTCTCTTGCTAGGTTAGCGTTGATGCTGTCACCAAGTAAACATTGGAAAACAACATAGAAGGGAGCAAGGGCATAGCAAGTCAGCTGTCCCCACTGCCACTAAAAGCCAATTATTTGCAGGTTCACATTCTAGGCAACATAATCATTCAATTAATATCAGTTGTACACACTCTTTTTGGAAAATAACGCGTACACTAAGGGGGTACTCATGATAAAATGGCCAAGGAGTACACAAGTCCACAAAGGTTGGGAATCACTGCTCTAAGGGGTTGAAACAAAGTACTTTAGGAGCTACATGAGTGACCGAAGCCAAAAGGCACCAAATTAAGTTGACAAATTAGTATTTAACCTGAGTTAATTTCATAAATGTAGTGTTTTATATTCATTAGGCCTTAAATGTAAACAATCTTGATACTGAAAGGGTCTTAAAGTGTTGAGACATTGATTATTGCTATTATTCACTGATGAGTTTAATCTGTTTATCTAGATGTGAGACAGAGAATACCCTGACCCTGTATCCCTGGATTCACCAGTTCAGCAACAACAAGAAATCCTCCGACCAAACTCGACCGATCAGATTCCCGGACGTGAACCCCCAGAGCCTGCCGCTGAACACAGACTTCTCCATGGTAGCGGGGGACTTTGTGGAGGTTTACAGTGAACCGGGTATGTTAAAGCTGACAGGGATTCATTCTGATTTAAACATCTGAAAACGAATCTATCAATGTTTGGTTGACGAGTAGCTTTCTCTTTCATTAATGTTCAGTAAACAGTAAACCTTGTGATATCATGTGTTCCCCTCAGAATGCTGGGACTGTGTGGCAACCTGCTTCTTTATTGATACTGCTAATAACGTCTTGGAGTATGTGGACACAATTTGGAAGATTCTTAAGCCTGGCGGAGTATGGATCAACCTTGGTGAGTCTACTAAAAGAAAACTAAGGTAGACTGGAATCATTGCTGACAGTTGATTTTCTGTTAAATATGTTCTTTTTCTAACAAATCAATCTGGATAAATAAATGTACATCCCAGCCCAAATGAACAAGATCAATGCCAAAACACCAGGCTGGTATATTTACGCTACTTAAGGTATTTATATTTTGCATTGTGGGTAAAATATGACTTAATATGAGTCCGTTGTTGACAGACGACCTTATTTGGGTTGCTTTATTTTAACTTTATTCTGTAGTATTTGTAGAGGTTCATAGTTTAGTTTTCTACATGTTTAGGTTAGCTTTTTGCTACTGAGTGAAGTAAAAAAAAAGAAAAAAAAAAGGTTTTTCTTTGCACTCTGAGCGACTGTCCTATTTTGTACATGACTATAACACTCTTGATTTTTGCACCACATTCTGCTTGTAAGGTTTCCAGTATTGACTAAATAGGACCTTAGCTTACAGCACAGTTATGTTTTGTCAACAGTTTCATTACAAAGTCCTCATGCCTTAAATCATGTTAAAAATTGTTTTTCACATCTGTGTTTGAAATGCAAACTTTTGTCTGCTGTTTTAGATGTAAATTATCTCCATTGAAACTCTGACCGGATCTGTTTTAAAGACGGTTTCAGAGGTTTTCTGGTCTACTTAGGAGAAACTCTGTGCACCAAGACAGAATTACTGTGTGCCTTTGGGGGAGACAAGGGTCTCACCTGTCCACCCTTAGCATTGTCTAATACTGCTTCAGTCTTCTTTGTACTTTAGCTGTGACAATTAGGAACTCCTAGTTTCCCAAAGATAAAGTTGTGTACAAAGTAATAGCGATGCGTTAAAAATATATATACCTGCATGTTTGGTATATTTTTAAAAATACATTTTTAGATGAAGTATGTCTCCATTTTTGCTTGTTTGAGTTCAACTTAGATCTGTGGCTAACGAACCGTAGGTACAAGTAATTTGTTTCTGCATCTTGTGTCTTTCAGGCCCACTGCTGTATCACTTTGAGAATATAGCCAATGAGCTCTCTATTGAGCTTAGCTATGAGGACATTAGGACAGCGATGATAAAATATGGCTTCATCTTTGAGGTAAATGGGTATCATTTTTAATTTGATTGCATTCTGGTTTTCTTGAAAACCATCGTTATGTTTCTAAAAGCAGTCCTATTCCTGTTACAGGCGGAGAAGGAGTCGCTACAGACGACTTACACTGAGAATGACTGCTCAATGCTGAGATACGTTTATGACTGCATCTTCTTTGTTGCTCGAAAACCTGCTGAGCTGCAGTTTAATGCTGTAGAAGAAGCAGAGCAACAGCTAAATTCTCCACCAGCTGCCAAGTCGTCCAGGCGGGAGGGTAGCAATAGGCTAACGTGACGTAAAACCATTAAGCAAACATGGTAAATTTGAAGAGGTTTAACCGCCAATATTTTTCTCCTTCAATACAACTTTTAAATTGCCACTCTCTGAAAAGTGCTTCCACCCTCATGGATTTTTAGAGAGCACTTGAGTACAGCTGAAACTGTGGGTTTAGTAAAGCAGGATGGGGCCAGTATGAGTTTCTCTTGCTATGATAACTGAGTGGAAAAGAAGAATTTTTAATGATGTCAGAGTATTGACCGAAATTCAAAGCAGAAATGCATCACACTATATGTTTTTCCTTTATATTAAACATTTTTTTCTTTCCATGTAAGTGATGGAAAAGTCTTTTTGTCAGCTGATCTGTATTGCAAAGCAGTGGCTGAGGGGAAAATATGGAACTGATCCGTATAAAAGTAAAAAATATATTAATAAAAAAAAAAAGTTCTCCATCCGACACTTTCCCTGGTATCTCATTTAATTGAGTTACCCACAGCCTCTAGTAGGTTTGTTTTTAAATCCGTTTTTTGTGATTTCCAAGCAGTTGACTTTGTTTGGCTTTTATATCACACACTCTTAACTTATTTCTATTACCCCGACTTACCTTGCCAGTTTGTATCCATTCACATGTGCCTCTACAACTGAATTATACATTTTGAAACGTATTTATTTGTACTTAAGTAGGCTTATTTGCATGTTTCTGTTTTTAAGTTGTAAAGCTTTCATCTTTTTCTTTGAAATAAAGCCAAGCATTTTGAGAAAAAAAAACGTTTGAATGGAGTATTTCTCTTGCAAACAGATTTCTGGAGCTTCATCGCAAAATTTTCAATTTTGATTATAAGGGCTCTCTTTGTATGGGTGTAAATGTAATGACACAGTTATAAGTTCCTGTGTCACTAGCTTCTACTATTGTTGGCATCTCACTTAGAGGAACTTCCTCTTTCTGCTACCTTATTGATATACAGTCATGAACAAAATCAAAAAGAATCTTTTCCAAACTATATCGAATTTATTATATTTTTTCCTACTGTAAATAACAATTATACATTATCTCCAAAAAAAAATAAAAAATTTTCAAGCAATGCAAATGCTTATAGTTACTCGTTTAAAATTCCCAATCAGTACAAAATGTTAAATAGATTTAAAAAAAAAATCATTTTAGCAAAGAGAACTGATTTTGCAAAAACAATAAAAAATCTTAAATCATTTTGAATTACTATTAGAAACGCTTTGTTTCCCATAGCTGTTTATTCTATAAATTAAGTTATTTTTTCCTAAGATATGTGTTGTTTAACAATTGTCATTAAAGTTCTAAAAAAAAAAAAAAAAAAAAAAAAAAAACATCGCCAAAGCGAGAGATGGGGGGGGGAAGTGGGCGGGCCTTAAAGGAATAGTACACCCAAATCATGATTAGCCTTCATTTTCTACTCACCCCCATGCTGAACAACACTCTGTAGTACTTTTTTGATATCTCAAATGCATCTGGAGATCTGGGAGGCTTCTTGCTGTCTGCTGACATTCAAATAATGGAGGTCTATGGTGACTGAGACAGAAAGGTCCATAAAAGTCCACAAAAAACGTGTCAATATTCCTCCATACTGCTCGTCCAATGTATTCCAAGTGTCCTGAGTGGGTAGCATCCAGAATTTACTCGAAACGAAGTCATTTAGAATGTTTTTAGAGCATAAACAGTAGTTTATAGGATTTCCTGAAAGCGCGCACACGCGCGCTCACGACGCTACGGAAGCCGGCAGACCAAACCAGCGCATTCAGCTCGGCAAAGAACTCATGCTCTTCCTCAACACTGAAGTCCTCAGATATTTTTCTTTCATTTGTTTCTTTCTTTGCACAGATAAACAGCACATTTCTTCTTATACGCTTGCATTATTGGAAGAGCAGACGCTGAATGCGCACTTTCATCTGGTTTGATCTGCCGGCTTCCGTAGCGTCTTGAGCGCGCGTGTGCGCGCTTTCAGGAAATCCTATACACTACTGTTTATGCTCTAAAAACATTCTAAATGACTTCGTTTCGAGTAAATTCTGGACGCTACCCACTCAGGACACTTGGAATACATTGGACGAGCAGTATGGAGGAATATTGACACGTTTTATGTGGACTTTTATGGACCTTTCTGTCTCGGTCACCATAGACCTCCATTATTTGAATGTCAGCAGACAGCAAGAAGCCTCCCAGATCTCCAGATGCATTTGAGATATCAAAAAAGTACTCCAGAGTGTTGTTCAGCATGGGGGTGAGTAGAAAATGAAGGCTAATCATGTTTTGGGTGTACTATTCCTTTAAGCAGCACGGCTGTTACACGATTGGTTCTTTTTCTTTAACTCCTGTACGTCATCACTACCGGGTTTGTTGTGCACGCTGCGCACTTGTGTTAAACAGAAGGACGGGGCTTTTATTTTGCTGCCTTGTTTCACTCACTCTATCATATAAGTTTTCTATGGCAAAGAGACGCGCGGAAGAACCTTTACTGCTGGACTCTCCCATTAAAAGAAGACATCTTGCTCCACTCTGTTGTGTCGGCATGCAGCCAGAGAGCATGGCTTCAGCAGGGGGTTTGAGTTCCCCGTCCATACTGACTCTGTTGGGCAGCCGATGTCGAAAAAGGCCTCATTATTCCGATAATGAAGCATCGGATTTATTTCCCAAGGTTTCGCTATGGGACTCTGGAAAGTTTGCATTGGATGTGTCGCAGGAGCCACCTTCTGGAAGTTTCCAGGACGAGCGGGGGCCCTGTACACTTTCACGAAATAAGAGACCCAGAGATGACAGTTTTGGTTCGGACACAGTTAGACCTGCAGGAAATGATAAAGTAGGTAACATGGATTAATTTGGCAACATGCACAACCTGTTGTTCAATAAAAGTACGTTTTAAGATCATTTGAGGCGAGAACCTTATACTTTTAAGCATCACCATATGGCCCATTCACAGATTTAATGCGTAATTTTAATGCCTTCATACAACCTGACTGAACGTTACTTCATCGAAAAGCAGATGATGTAATAAGGGAAAACCGCCACTAGGTGTCCCCATTTGCACACTTAACTAATTCACATCCAGTCACTTTGGACAAATTAAATGTGTTTTATTCTATATGAAAAATGTAAGTAAGTAAATTAGCTTTTTATTGGTTACTTAATTAAAAGGGCAAAAATTGTTTGTTTCCAGATTTATTGTATCAATAGTATCAAAAGTGATTTATCTAAATTTAAGAGGACCAGTAGCAAATTAGAAAAACCAAAGATCTTTTATAAAATGCAGACATTTTCTACACAATCACGTGAAAGACTGCTGACTTGGAGGTTTTCCAGCATACAGTCAATGATAACAAAAGGTCATTCAAAACTACCAAAAAAAAAAGTTCACCTTGAATTTCAAATCTAATATCAAATCTCATTCAATAGTTTGATTGCTTATATCCAGAAGTATGCCCTAATCTGAAGTAAATATTGGATATTTGTCCAAAATAAGCCAAAAAAAAACTGATGTGGAATTTTATCAGCTGGCATCTATAATCGCCTTTGTTTCATGCTGATAGAAGCAATTTGCTTTTTTAAAGTTTCTGTAGGTTATTGGTTATTTTTACATGGGTCTGTTGTTTTGATACCTTTTGTTGTTGTCTTTTTTCCATTTTAGTAATATTACTTGATCAAGTCTTTTCTAACATTCTACAGTATAAAATTAGTAATGAAATCTAATATTGTATTGAGTTGATATCGGTATCGGCCCATTCTCAAAGCTGCAATGTTGGTATTGTCCTGGAAATGAAAACGTTGCACCGCGACACCTTTTGTTTCTACAGTTAGTGATGCTAAAGATCCTCTGGCAGTGTTGGTCCACTGCTTTTTATCAAGCTCAAAGCTGATGCAGAAGTGATCAATGGGGAACGGCGGCCTAGTTGTTAGGGCGTTGCTTGGAATCCTGATGTTCTGAGCTCAAGCCCCACTCCCACAGACTGCCACTCTGGCTTTCTGAGCAAAAGACCCTTAACCCCACACTGCTCCCTGGGCACTGCACAATGGCAGCCCACTGCTCCCCAAGGAGATGGGTTAAATGCAGAGAGTTCATTAAGTAATGACAATAAAAATAAAAGCTGGGAAAGAAGTTTACCAGAAAACTGTAGGAAGACACTCATTCTGCACCAAAATCAGGTTAAATGACTATAGTTTCACTATTTGCCACTTGAACCAAACCCTTAAAGAGACATGGATTGTTAAGTGTAACATGACAGTTACCAGCGCTAAGAAAGAAGATTAACTGAGATTTACTGCCTGGGCCTCCTGAACTTCTCAGTAGCATGACAGGCTAATCACCTTCAATTCAGTCTGTAATGAAACAACAGCTCATGCAAACAGGAGAGCATATCAGGTATTGAGTGGATATACTGCACAGTACCATGATTCTGTATTATAAATAGGATTTTCTGTGCATTAATTATTTCTTGGAAAATAATTTATTTGCTGTTACACAATTGGAAATATGAAATTAAATCTTACGTTGAATCGATTAAAAGTCCTTTCAAGTTCAACCGTTGAGTGAAAGTAACATAGCTAATCTTATTTAAAGAAATTTCGATCAATCAGATTCTCTTCCTTATTGGCTTTTACTAAATACTTGTAAATACAGGGGTTTTCTGGATGCTCACTTGTCCTTTTTTTTCTTCTTTTCAGACAGACAAGGACTCCTCTGAAGATGACACTTATAACTCTTTTCAGTACTGGAGGGTCCCCTTACCTGAACTTGACCTTTTACTGCTAGAACATACTAGTGACCAGTCCCAAATGAAAGACAAGTCCAAAGACAATACCACGTCTGCAGATGCAATGGAGAGCTGAAGATGATGGACACTTTAAGGCTTTATTTACCTGAGCAAAGCATCATGCTGTTTGTCATGTCTTTTGCGATATGATCTAAGATCTCAGTGATGCTTTTTGGATCAGCTCTTGGCCTTTCTGAAGATTCTAAGTTCAGCAGGCTTGTAAACGCCACGGGGGACGTTTCATTCAAACATGCTGCAAATCTGCATCAGAACCGGAGGAAACGTTGGTTGGGGAGACTTTTCTTCAACCTACCAGGTTTCATCAAGATGGGTGTCACATACCGCTTTTAATAACTGATGATTTCAAGTCGGTTCTGTAACCCACTGCAGTGTTACTTTGCAAATGACTTTCCAGTATTTTTCAGTTCCAAATACATGTCAATTTTTGCTCATTTCTTTTTGTCTTTTCTGGTAAAGTATTTGCAGATAGTCTTAAAGCCCAGCTGCTGCATAAATCTTTTTTTTGCACCTGGTATTCTGGAAAGGCGAGAACTCTTAAGCCTTTAAAAAGTCTGGGAAGGTAAGGTGAGACGAGAGAGATTTGTTTCTTTAGCATATTTCAGTAGAAGGACAATTCAAAGTATTTTAGAATAGAGTAATGGCAGGGAAATAAAATATGAATAATTCACAAATGTGAGCTGAAGTTCCCCCTACAGTGGTGAGGATGCACTATGTTTCACCCTTTTTCCTTTTCTTCTTTTACCCCTACCTATTAAAATCTCTGTGTATGCCAATGTAATTGATTAATATTTTAATGATTTGAATGTTCTGATGCTTTTATAATGTAACACACTTTGAATTGCCTGCTGCTGAAATGTGCTATATGAATACATTTTACTTACTAAAGAGTAACTAGAAAAGAGTTAGAAAGCTTTTATTGTCCTTTCGTACACATAGTGTGCAGAAAACAAAATTTTGTTTTGTACAGCTATCTTATTTCCATTCCTTAAATTGCAGCAGTGATCAAATTTATCTCTCAAAAGAGAGATAAAAGCTATGAAATCAGTAGGAAAAAGAATGAAAAACTAGAGTTTAGGCTGCCTAAAAAAAGAAATAAACATATTTAGAACAGTCAAGGGCAACTTTACACAATTCTAATAAAGTTGAATAAAGTTGAATTCTATTCTCCAAATGGCTTTTTAACTTTGATTTAAAAACAAATGTTGGTTCTCTTTTATGTTCTGGGTAAACACAATATATCTTATTATTTTTTCCCCTGTAGAAGAAATGAAATGTGATTTAAGAAATTAGATAAAGAAGCCAGCATAATTTAAAAGTATAAGCATTAAAAATATTGCACATTTAGATCTCAGACAAGAACTCATCTTAACTCAAACACAAAATGGGGAGAGTGTTGGCTGGGTTGCAAGTACCTGGTTTGATCCCCACAGCCTCCACTCTGAGTTCCTAAGCAAGACCCTCCATTGCTCCCTGGGTGCCACACAATGGCAGCCCACTGCTCCCCAAGGGGATGGGTTAAATGCAGAGGTAAATATCTCCAATGTGAGATCAATAAAGTTCAATAATTATTATTAAATGCACCAGACCACATTTGTGTCAGTAACAAACAACCAATGGATCAAACAAGAGCAACATAGCTTTCATGCAGCAGACCAGAGCCAGAAGACATGAGAGGTCTGAAAGTTTATGCTGTGACAACAAATCTATAATGTATTTGGCCCCCAGTGATTTATAAACTACCAAGTCTGTTAATAGAGCAGAGGCAAGACCTTAGAACTGGGGGGATGTGCTTGTTTTTCTTAGTTTAAGTGAGGACGCTGGCAGCAGCATCCTGGATTAACTGAAAGCATTTAGGGAAATTTGTAAAGAATCGGCTAAAGATGAATGCATGGATGAGTTCTTCAAGATCCTTCTAGGACATCCGTTTTTTTGTTTTCTGTCATGCTTATCCCAAGCGGGATCCTGAGGGGTGCTGGTGCCTATCTCCAGCTGTCTACGGGCGAGAGGCGGGGTCCACCCTGGACAGGTCCACCTCACATCATGTCATTTTTTCTTAAAATAAGTGCATTTCTTCTTGAATTAAGGAGGTAAAAGAAAAAAATTGCCAGTGGAACAAGACAATTTACAAATAAAATAAGAAATCACAACTGCATTGTCTTATTTCAAGTGCATATTATCTAATTATCTTATTTTAAGAGTAAAAATACTCATTCCAATGGCAAACTATCTCATTTACCCACTCAAATTAAGGGTAAATACACTTAATTTAAGATAATTTTTTTTTACTTATTTCTAGATCGGTTTTTCATCACAGGGCAACACAGAGACAAACAGGAAAAACAACCATTCACACTCACACCTAAGGAGAATTTAGAGAAACCAATTAACCTAACAGCCATGTTTTTGGACTGGGGGAGGAAGCCGGAGTACCTGGAGAGAACGCATGCACAGTGAGAACATGCAAATTCCCGGGCAGGGAATCGAACCCAGATAGTTCCTTCTAGGACAATATTTATTTAATCTTAGAAATGCGCTTTGGGTAAAGAAGAAAATGTACAAGGTTTAGAAATTAGATGTGAAATATTTAAAAGTAGTTCTGGTTCTCAAATAAACCTATCAAGGTGAGGTTGCTCAGATTTATTCTGGTTTAAATGGAGTGGGATGGATGTTATTAAGCTGAATAAAATCAGAAACTACTTGTTGCTGGACTGTTTTCTGGAGTTTAACTCGATCCTGCTGCTGCTGCTGCTGGGTTGTGGTCTGAAGGGGGAACCAGCTGCTCAGCAGCTGTGAAACAGGGCTGTTCGGTTGGAGGTCATGAGCTCCTCAAGGCTTCTTGGAAAAGGCTCGGTGCCCTTTGGACCTGCAGCTGATAAAAACCGAACCGACAGACTGAGGATGATGAAGCGGTGGGATCTGGTAGAAGGTCTCCGTTACACTTCAGCGGTTTATTGGTGTTTTTCCAGCTGAACGAAGCCATGGTAAGTTATGCAGAAGAAACGAATGACATCAATTCACCGAAGATATTTTGTTTTCTACAGCAGGGGTCGAGCAAAAACAAAAAAATAAAGAAGCTGTTCAAAAGTTGACGCGGTTTATCTAGTAAATTAGCCGTGGCTAGCTGATAAGCTATCGTGAAATTGGCTAAGTTGAACTTGTTAGCTAAGCTCATGGTAGGAGAGTTTTAGTAAAGTCACATGTCTGCTGACTTTGTTTCTCTTCACATATTTTATAAAATATGTTGGTTGGCAGAAGAAAGAAGCTTTTAGGTGGAGCTGCTAATGAAGTATTTTTCTGATTAGTGAAAAAAAAAAACAAATCTAAAAAAAACTGATATTACATGCAATTTGTTAAAAAAACGTCTCAAGTTAAAGTACATTTATAATAATTTAATGGAAACATCTCCATATCCACCCTTAATTTAATTAAGTATATAAAATGATTTGCCAATGAAATTAGTATTTTCTAATTTTAAACAAAACATTTCTGGTTCCATTAGCAAACTATTTCACTTATGTCCTCAATTAAAGGAAAAAAAAAAAAAAACTTATTTTAAGAAGAAATTATTAACATTTTTTTGTAGGGTCGGAGTCCTTATCTAAATGTTGTAAACCTGCTAAAGGGAAGGTTTTCATTCAGTATATATTTTATTATTCATTACATTAAACCATGTCCAGTTTGGTGGGGGTACAGTTTTGGAAACAAATCTGTAATAAAGGTAAAATCATTTTTATTTAGAAAAAGAGTCACTTTATGTATTATGTGTGTTCTTTATCAGCACACCTTAATCAAGTGATTTATTAGTTGCTCTGCAGGGATCTGCAGAAGCCTGTAAATCATCTATGTATTCAGGTCAGGTGTTTGGAGGCAGGAAAACTCCTAAAACCTGCTGGGCAGGAAGTCCAGAAGAACCCCAGACTAGAGTGTATTTTTAACTTAGGGTAGTTTTGGTTCTGAGCAGTATTCCCAGTTGTGAAAAATGTGCTTATTGATAGGAAACTAAACATTATCACACTGACATTATCACCATTACTCTTACTGTTAAAGCTGTTCAAAAATTCTCTTTGCAAAGTACAAGTAACATGCTTGTTAATCATCATACCTGAACTGATAACCTGACTAATTAACCCACAGGTGTCAGTTCATGTTGTGTTCTAAATATCAGATTGGAAACATCTATATTTTATGCTTGAAAATTGACATTTTATGTTTCTTTCATCACATTTTCTACATATTTAGTGCCTCTTAAAAATAGTAATGTAAAGGGATTTTTTTTTTGCTGAATTGGGGCCATAAAGTATGTAATAAAGATAAAAAGAATATAAATCAGAAATAAACAGAAACACATGAAAAAGAGAAACATTTAACCATAAAAAAAAAAACCACAAAAAAAAGATAACCTTGAAAAATAAAAAATACTTTTCAGATTGCATTTTTGCAGAAGTTTCTCAGCTTCCTTCACACTCGCCCTGTTTTGGCTCTGATGAGTCAAAACAGATGATGATGGGGTGTGGAATTAGGAAGCTCATTACAATTGCTGATCAATCTATTTTTAGCTGTTGCATACAGAGACCCTGAGAACCGGAAATGTCTTTGAAACATTGTCAATATTCTATGTATATGCGACTGGTTTTGATAAATAAAATGCTTCAATGGTAAAAGCACCTTATATGAGTACACAACCCAAATCTTAGATGATAAAATCGAATCATGCCAGAGTTGTACAGGGTTTTAAGTCTGTGTTGAAAATTTCCCCAAAATATTAATTGGTTATTCTTGTTAAAACATAATAATAATAATAAAAACTTGTCCATGGTACTTCACATTTTAAAAGATTATGTTTTTTTTTTTTTTAACAGTTCATTATTACAAAAACAAACAAAAAAACTAAGAAAAGGTGCAGTGGAGAACATTTTTATTTATTTTTTTAATTTAGCCCATAAAAGGATTGTTAATGCAGTCATTATTCGTCCTTGCGTTTCTCCCAGAGTTGACATCTCCTCTGCTCTGCTTCACTCAGCCTGACCTCCAGAGCTCTCTGTTGTCTCTCTTTGCTCCAGGTGGGGTACAGTCTACTCTGCCAGCTCTATAAGCACTCTCAGCCTGAATCTACAATCCTGCTGCAATCTACCATTCCTCCTCTGAAACCCTGGTATTGATTGACTGATTGATTGACTTTATGGATCTCAGAGTGGAGTGTGCCAGAGCGGCACAGAGTTGCGGCACCAAAGCCCTGCTCTGGAGCAAAGAAGGCTAACAGCAGGAAAAGAGTAGATTCTAAAAGTCTACCAGAGCTATGGGCAGAGGCTGTGGGTTGCTGGGTCTAGGGTTTTCTGCAGAGAGGCGTACCTCCTCAGTCTGGCGGTTCTTCAGCTTTACGTTCAGCACATGGGAATTCGCTAGTCATGATTCCCCAACCCCTTCATCTGAGTCCACGCTATCTACGCCAAAACAAGGCCATAACTTTGAAGCAGGAAAAAAGGTTGAAAGTTCGGTAGGAATTTGAACATTTTACAAAAAAAAAATTGAATCTGAAAAGTTGTTTGGCTTTTGAACAAACTTTTTTTCAGGTATTTTCTTTTTGAACACACTTTTTTCTTTTAGGTATATTATATATTTTTTTAGGTTTCATGTCTTTTTTTGAGCATTTTTTTTAGCAAATGTAATGGCCCTATTTTAGCTCCATATAATTTCAATTTGAAAATCTTCTGCAATAAATTGTAACTTTTTGACTGTATTGGTTCATTAAAGAACCAATTATTTATACCTGTCTAAACTGGCCTCTTTGACATCACCCTAATAGTGAGCTCCTCCCACAGAATCACCTTGAATGTTTTTCTTTTCTTTGGATTAAGATTATCCCTATAATAATCATATTTTTAACACAAATTCCCCTAAACAAAAAAAAAATCTGTTAAGATGTTAAAGGAATAGTACACCCAAAACATGATTAGCCTTCATTTTCTACTCACCCCCACGCTGAACAACACTCTGGAGTACTTTTTTGATATCTCAAATGCATCTGGAGATCTGGGAGGCTTCTTGCTCTCTGCTGACATTCAAATAATGGAGGTCTATGGCGCCCGAGGCAGAAAGGTCCATAAAAGTCCACAAAAAACGTGTCCTCCATGTTATATTCCTCCATACTGCTCGTCCAATGTATTCCAAGTGTCCTGAGTGGGTAGCATCCAGAATTTACTCGAAACGAAGTCGTTTAGAATGTTTTTAGAGCATAAACAGTAGTGTATAGGATTTCCTAAAAGCGCGGTCACGAGTCTATGGAAACCGCGGCAGGCCAAACCAGATGAAAGTGCGCATTCAGCTCGGCAAAGAACTCATGCTCTTCCTCAACACTGAAGTCCTCTGACATTTTTCTTTCGTTGTTTCTTTCTTTGCACAGGTAAACAGCACATTTCTTCTTCTACGCTTGCATTATCGGCAGAGCAGACGCTGAATGCGCACTTTCATCTGGTTTGTATTACAGGAAGTGAGAAGCTGTGCCAGAGTTCCTGCAATGTTTGGTCTGAATGCAGGGTTTCCGCGGCTCATTAAATCATTATTTTTTTAAATTCAGGCCTTAATTGGCATTAAAATTCATTAAATGTGATTTTTGTGGCATTTAAGATGCTTTATTAAAAAATTATTTTGTCATTATCAGATATAACTGGTTCAGCTTTTTTGCACGGAACTGCTTCCGGTTTATCGTAAAGCCGTATGTTTGGAAAAGAAGCTTGAGGCGGAGAAAAGCTAGAGAATAGGAAGAAGCAAATTTCAACAATGCACAAAAAGAGAAGGTTATATTTTGATTTCAAGTGTCTTCTGTGTAACTTGGTCTGCCCTAAATCAAATATGTTACTGTATCAGGATGAGAGGATCAATATAAGCAGATCATAACATTGATAATACAAAAAGAAAATATTAATATAATCCATCCATCTTCTTACACGCTTAATCCCAAGTGGGGTCGCGAGGGGTGCTGGTGCGTATCTCCAGCTGTCTATGGGCGAGAGGTGGGGTACACCCTGGACAGGTCGCCAGTCCAACACAGGGCAACACAGAGACAAACAACCATTCACACACATACTCGCAACTAAGGGGTTTTAGAGAAGCCAATTAACCTAACAGTCATATTTTTGGACTGTGGGAGGAAGCCAGAGTGTGTGTGTGTGTGTGTGTGTGTGCATATATGTGTGTGTATATAAATTTATATATATATATATATATATATATATATATATATATATATATATATATATATATATATATATATGGGTACTTGATGGCATTAAATGATTTCTAAGAGCATTAAAAGAGCATTAAAAAGCATTAAATTAGAATTACTCATTCCTGTATAAACCCTGGAATGGTTGATCTTCTATTACTTTTGCTGAATTGTTTACTTAACTTAGGAATTGATGTTTAGATCTTTGGTTTTATGTCATTTGAAAATTAGCATAATATAAAATTGGTACATCTTCAACTCTAAATTACCTTAGAGATCTATTAAGCCCTTTTGTGGTTTCTGTAGACATTAAACTGCAGCCTGTGGCTAAATACAAAAGTTTTTTTTTTTATCTATTGGAAAATCTGCTTTCTCTAAAACACAGCTACGCTTCAGAGCCTCGCTAAGTGTTTACACAATCTGACTCCGTTTTGGGAGGGAGTAAACCAGCTCCCCATCCATGTGGCCTAATCTCAGGAAGGGCATATTTGTACATTTCCTACAAACTGCTCTGCTTCTTGGGACTATTGTTGAATCTGTTGTTTAAAAGTAGCAAAGGCTTTGAGAAGCATGAGGTAGAGTTTGGGGTTGTTGCTCTCACGCCTTCAGTGTTTCTCTGTTTGTGGGAGGGAAGTTGCTGCAGTACAAGCTAGAGTTTATCTTGTAGACCTCTGCTTTGACTACTATGAACTTCACTGAAAAGGTTCTTTTGTATTTTGTTTTTTTCCCCTTAGACATATGTTTGTTTTGCCTCAGAATCAATTAATCAAAGCTAAGTATACTGTCCTATTTTTATTAACTCACTTTGATCTGTCCTTATTTCAGACAGGAGCATCTTGGATTGAGGAGACCTTCTTTAGAAGGGAGTGTGTGAAGTTCATCCCTTCTTCTTGGGACCAACACAGGTAAGCTCTACAGTGGCTGCACTGTAAATTTTATGATTCCTGGAACACTGTTTGTACTTTAATGTTACCAGCGGTGGGTGGGAATAAAGGTTTTCTGAGAACAACCATTTTGCAGCGTGTCCTCTTATTCCAGGAACCATGTTTTTTCCCCCTGAACATGTCTTTTCTTGTTTCTTTTTAGATGCATTCCTGTGTGTCAAGTATGCCAAAGCCTGATCAGGTATTTCTTAATGATTTCCTGTTATATTGTATATCTGTGGCCACATTCTGACTTCAACACTTTACTGCCCACATGGGAAAGGCATTCTTACAATTTCCCGTTTGCTTTCTTTTTACTGCTGCCTCGTTTTTTTCTTTTTTTCCATTTAACTTGCGCTCTTTTCGCAAAACCTCAAAATGCAGTGAGTCAGTGAGTTATTAACAGTAAAGGATATGTTTAAAGGAACAACTGAAGAGAGTTAGTGGCATGAATAACACAATAAAACAGAAATATGTAGACTCAAGGACAAAGGGAGTTGTAGAGGAAGGGTGGGACGTAGGAAGGGGAGGCATGGTCAGCTGGGGTTTTGAACATGATAAGCAAACAATCTGTATTTATAGCTAAATTAACAACACACTTTTGTTGCACACATCGGCGTTGAGGAAAATGGCAGATGGCATCCAATGTGTGATTAAGCTCTCAACATCACTTGTTTAGTTGGAAAACAGTTTTAGCTCTGTCTAAATCACTTATACAGATTTATTTTTTACTGTTACCTTAAAACTTGCAATTAAAGGGTTAACCTCTGCTACAACTTATTGTTTTCATATTTTTTGCACAATAATCTATCAGTGTAATACGTCCAGTGTGTTCAACATATTTTATTGATAGATTAGACACAAATGCAGACCCACTCCTATGTAATTATGAATAGCAATTGATCAGGCAAGGCAACCATAAAGATTGAGACTTTTGTTTATAGGTGATAATAAATAACATACATATAGATATTATGTAACATATATTTCAGCAAATCCCTAGTATTATTACACACTTTACCTTTTAGGCTCAAACATGAAGAAATCTAGTTCTTTTTTCAAGACAAGATTAAAATAAACAAGAGCGTGTGACATAACGTATGACTAGAACAAATTAAAGTAACCCACTGTGTTTAAAATCCTGATCCTGCTGCTTTGCTTTGTATAGTTACATTAATCATCAGATTTGGTGTCAGTCAACCCTTTGACGTGTTCACCATTTGTTCCCGCATGTTGTCTATTTCTCAGACCAAATCATTAGCAAATCATTACTTGTCTATCTACCTACAGCAACATGTGTGACTTATATGGTTAATAACTGTCATTACATGGGGTTATACGCATTTTATTGTGTTATTTTAATATTCACCAAAAACCTGATGTTACATGTTATTTTTATTTAGTACTAATTGCATGTTTGAACTAGTTAAGTAAACTAAAAACTAAGTGACCTACTCATGGTAGCTAGTCTTTATTTAAGTCATTTAAAAAATCTGGAAATAGGGAACCAAAATACCAGAAGTGATTGGAGAATATTTGAAGATGCTGTTTGTTTTTAAAGTACATGCACACATTGATTTAGCCTTTACACCACTGGAATATCAAACTAATTCAAAGTGAGATATTTTCCATCTTTCTAAGAGCTGAAGTTCAGCTCAGACTTGGCACATAATGCAGTAGGACAATGCCCCCAGCCACAGAAGACAGTCTGAAAGAGAACGGCTGAGAAATAAAGAAATCAAGCTGTTTCAGTGGCCCAGTCAAAGTCCAGACCCCTCATGTGATTTAATTACCATGGGGAGACCTTTAGAAAGGGGTCCGCTTAGGATATTCCTAAAAAAAGTAAAAAAAAAAACACAATCCACTGGACTTGGTTTCCAAGTTTGAGGAAGTTTTGCTTCCAATCCTGGAAGCTTTTTCAATTCAAAATGTCAGGAATATCGCTGAGTTTGAGGCTTTATATGGTAGCCCAACAAAGCCTTGTTTTTGTTTAGACAACATGCAAATTGAAACAGACTTAGGATAGTGACTAAAAGCAATCTAGCAACAAAGATTAGATCTAATCTAGACAACATGTGTAAGAACTGATAAAGTTATTCAGAAAATTACTGTCAGTCAATGAGGTCACTTTCAGTTAATAATGGTAATTTTAAGCTATTAAATCTTTTTCAGCTATAAAACCTTCTTATGGCTCTTCAGGGGGTTTTACCTTTGCAGTTTTGTTGCCTACCTACGTTGTCACCTAAATGACTCATACCAACAAGGGGAAATGTGGTTTTCTGATGAACTGCTATCTCTAATGATTTGATGTCAACATTTTAGTCATTTTGTTCTAATAGGAGGATTTTTTTCTATCATTTTCATTCATTATGTAGTACATGGATCATAACATTAATGCTAATAGATTCCTATAAAATCCTATTAAAGAACTTTAAACAAATCAAAGTAGCATTTTCTGGCAATATGTCCATAATTCATTAAATGCTTTTCTGCTAAGAGGAAAGAAACAGGCAGGAGATGGTTTAAATGTATTCTAATGAAATATTTTCGGGTGTTTTATGGAAGCAGGCTGAGTTAATAGGGTTGAAAATATGGGAAGAGTTAAACCCAGAATTGGTCACATTGATTTGTCACATGTTGAGTTTAGATATATATTTTTAAATAAAGTAAATCATGAAATTAAAATGTCTCAAGTGGTGGTGATTGTTTACCTTCTGTTGTCAGGGCAGAAGCTGCTCAGCTGAGGTTTTTTTTTATTTTTTTATTTAAAGACAAGTTTTCTCTGTTAAATCTAACCACATGTTGTTCTGATGCTTCCAAATTGCTGTATCTGTTGAGTAGATGTTGCTGTGGCCGCCTGATGGGGGAACACTCTTGGGAGGAGTCTTGTCCTCCGACCTCCCTCTATCCCAGCCCAGGACAGGACATGGAGGAGGAGTGGTCCATGGAGGCTCATACAAAGGCCAGTCCCACCAACGCCTATGGGATCGTAGACTTTCAGGATACCGCCACACGTGTCTGTCGGGCAAAGGTTTGTAAATCCAGTAACTAAATGGTTGATTTTGCTCAATTTACACTGAAAAGTTAAATAACTATAGTTAGTCTTCCCTTTCATTGGATGCTTGAGAGATGGAAGTCTAGATTCATGATGTTTGTATAAATGTTGCTTTGCTATGGTGAAAGCAGCTTTAACATGATTAGTGAAAGCAAAGATGCTATCTGCAGTAGCGACAAAACAGTCTTATGGGAACCCCTGAGCAATGCTGCAAGTAATCTAGCACTGCCATGTTCCTCCAGTATGTTCGCGTGGCTGTGGACTCCAAGCCAGAGGCGCTACTCCAGCTGATGCTGAAGGAATGGCAGATGGAGAGGCCGAAGCTACTGCTGACTGTCCATGGAGGGTCAGAAAATTTCCTTCTGCCTCCAAAGGTGAAGCAGGCCTTCGGTAAGGGGCTCATCATGGCTGCCATAAGCACAGGAGCATGGATAATCACTGATGGGGTCAATACAGGTAAGAACAGGAAAGATCTCCTCTCTTACAGTGGCTTATTAAAGTAGTAATTAGGGCTGAGTATTGGCATGTGTGTCGAAATACGATACATGTCACAATACTGTCACAACATGATATTATCACGATATTGCAATATCACTATATTCGCAATATTTTCCCCAACTATCAAATTCAATGTATAGATTAAAAAAAGCAAATGCTGTATATGTTCATCAGAAGAGATACATTAAGAGGTGTATTTTGGTATCTATGATGTTTGGGGTTTTTAGTCATTCCATGTCTTCCACTGTGACTGCCTCAACCACAGAAAATGTGCTGCATCGTTCAGCAAAATGGCTCTACAGTGTGGCAATGCAGATGTAGCCAATTTTCCATCATTTTTTTTTTTTAATCTAGATACTAGGAACTAAAAGATTGATATTATATCAGACAGCTGAAAATCACAATATATTGCCAAATTGTTTTTTCCCCCACACCCCTACTAGTGATAACACTTTATATTTTTCTTTACGTGTAAAGTGAAAGAAACTGATGAGTTTTCAAAAATATCTGCAAAATCAAAAAAGTAAAGCCTGTATATATGCAGCCCCAGTCCATTTTAGAACCACTTGGAAGAATCTGCTTGTTGTATTCACTAAAGCTCAGGCAGATAATGGATCATGTGCATGAATACCATTCACTTCATCTAAACCTTTCCCTTCTAGACCCTGGTGGTTTATTTAGGGTTGTTGCTGAAAGGTGAACCTTTTGCCTAAACTTCTTTCAGTATTACCTTGAATGACTCTGGATGTTTGCATCAACTCCAACCCACCTCTTTGACCCTCCTCCAGAGCTTCTACAGACCTCTTGGCTGCTTCTCTAAATAATGCTCTCCTTGTTAGGTTAGGTGAAGGCACATGTCTTGGTAGGTTTATATTTATGGCGTTACTCTTTCTACTTTTTAATGTTTGATTGAAAAACACAACAGGAACAGCCTTGTTTCATTTTTTGATGCCAGTGACATCTAAAGGCAAGAACACCTTTAATCCGATTCTGGATCCGATCCGACAGAAAAATCGTGTCGGACGAGGTTGTGGCGTTTAGTGTTCATTGAAAGTCAGTGAGGATTATCACCCTCGACACAATGTTATGCAAGGGGGGCTTGTGTAGGTCTGACTGAGATAGATCCCAGGTCTGTTGTAGTCGGACTAAGCAGCAATTAAGCGGGTCTGACAGGATGAGAGATGAGAGAAAGTAAAACACATCCACTTTGGAGAAAAATACAAAATAAAATCTGTTGATTGCATGGGGAACGAGTCAGTTTTGGAGTTGCACATCGCGACTTATATAGTAAGTGGGACAGACTCATGCAAAAACCGTGAATGAAACATTAAAAATTAGAATATTTTACTCATAATAGGAGTTCAGGAGGACCGAAAACTGATAAAGTAGTTATCCTCTTTTAGCCTCGCATAAAACAAGGGACCGAAAACGCAGTTTATCAAAATTCTGGAAAAAAAAAAAAACTTCAGGAGGAGAAAAAAATCGGATATAGTAAAACCAATCCTCTTTGAGCCTCACAAAAAACAACATGAGAGGCAGTCAGATCAGGTAAGCGTGGCGTATATCTCTCACTTCTTTATGAACAAAAGAAAGGAAAAACTTTAAACTTCTCAGATCTCTCTGTGAGACTCACCTGTCTGCCTCAGTCAGCATAGAAACCGTTCCATTGCTGTGTTTTTCTTTTCTTTAGATGTAGATCTCATTATGTTTTAATATAGGCATAGAAACATTCTCAATCTGTTCTGGTTTGAGATGCTACAGACTCTTTAAGTGGGGCTTTGCTTTAGTGAATGTGCCGGTGGTTTTTAATTTAATTTTTTTTATAACTTTTCAGAATCGGTCCAAGTCAAATGTGGGAAATGACTGTAATTTGTGTGGCACAGAGAGAGAAGTGAAAAAAATCAGCACCGATCTGCTCACACTGCCTAGTCGAAGCATCTCTCTATACATTCAGTGTGACATGGAAAAAAATCAGATTGGGGATTAAAAAGTCATATGCAACCGATGTGTTCAGGCCTTAAGGCTGATTCTATTGACTAATCGTATTATTGATCATATTAATATAAAATCACATTTTTGTATGACTTTGTGGTGTTCCCTATCTTAATGATAATTAGCACAATCTGGAAAAGCTAAAGGAAAGTAAGAATATATTTTGGAAAGTGCTGAATTTGCAAAGTGTGGTTATTTATACCTTCTAGGTGTGTCAAAGTACGTTGGTGAAGCAGTGAAGCTATTTGGAGGCCATGACCTGAGGAAGAGAAACACTATTGGAATTGCACCATGGGGAATGATTGACAACAACCTGGACCTTATCGGCAGAGATGTTAGTACTAAAAACCATGTAACATGACAACAAACATGTTTAAAACATCGTATATCTTAGTTCAGTTACTCAACATCTGTTCAGGTATTCAGGCCCTACCAGCCGCTTGGAAACCCTTTAAGCAAGAGGGCGTGTCTTAATGGTTTCCATTCCCACTTCCTGTTTGTGGACGACGGGACGTCAGGGAAACCGTGTTGTCATCAAGGCCTCAGAAGAAAACTGGAGAAACATATCCAACTGCTGAAGATACACCCCCGTGAGTCAGTGTGGCAGTGTCTGAATTCATCCTGATGGGGCAGCGTCTTTCTGTCCAACTGCTCATTCATCATGTAGAATGACAAAATAGATATTGCAACATTTGTATTGGAGGCATTGTTGTTTGTTTCAGGCTGTATTTAAATTCTTAGTAATCATTACTTTTTGAAACATCAGAGTTGAAATAATTGGCTTTTTTTTTTTACGTTTGTTCTCTCCAGGACTGAACCAGGGAGTGCCTGCTCTGTGCGTGGTGGTGGAAGGAGGCCCTGCTGTTATATCCACCGTGTTGAACTATGTCAACAATGTGCCCCCTGTCCCAGTGTTTATATTTGAGGGGTCGGGCCGGGCGGCAGACCTCTTTGCCTTCTTACACAAGCAGACCGCTAATGATAGGTATACAAGTAGTTGTAGATGTTAAGCTGATGGTCATATAACTTTACTTGCTTTTGTAAAAATGGAACCATGCACAGTTTGCAATAGACAGGTGAACTAATCAGGCTCTCACTGGCTGATAATGGTTTGCAGTTTTCTTCTTTAATCTGTATTATGGGACAGATTTTTCTTCTCAGAACTGTAAGGGTTTAAAAATGTATTTTAATTCAACAGATTAATCTTATAAAGTTTTCTAATAAAAAACGTGCTTCGGGTTCTTGTGTAGGGCTAGAAGTTATGAATAAAAAGTTAAGAGATAATGTATCATCAAGCTGAAGTCTTTCTTCTAAATTTAGAATCAAAATAAAGAGCATAATAGAAAACATTTGTTAAACAGAGACTGAAAATATTTTTAGCTCTAAAACACAGGGTCTGATCTTCAAAGATTAGATTGAATTGCACATACAGGTCTGTTTTTTAGTAGATGTAATAAGTAGGCATGTTGTGGGAGAGCTACAAAGATGCACAAATGTTAAGATGTACGAACTGATTTGGTTCCGACTACTAAAATGAGCAGATTGCATGTTCTACAGGCAGTTTGAGAGTGACCATAAAGAAAAGATGAGGTTTAAAGCCATTCAGATGGAGGTAATACTGTTACTTATAAGAAAGATAATAATATTATCCTCATGGCCTGTCTAAATGTGGTTTGATCAAAAGTAAAAGGAAATATCAGGATCGTCTGCCGTCTCGCTTTATTAATGTGCTCCTGCCTGCATCAGCGTTTATTCTACTGTTATTTCTTATTATCCAAATATGTTTGCATGAGCACAGAATCTCTCTCAATTCTCTGGCATCCTCCCAAAGCCTCATTTTTGGCAACAATGACTGCAGATATTTTTTGGGTGTCAGTTTGCACCTGATTTTCATAAGTACTAAAAAAGATGCAAAAACTGAGGCTGCAGTTGAGTTTGAGGTTTAGAAAATCGCTGTGCACGTGGTAACTCTTTACATTTGCATATCCTCTAATCATGAATTTATGCAGTTAGGACATTGGAGTATGGTCTACATTTTATACATGCAAAAAATGTCTGGCATATCTGATGAACTACGAACATAAATCCCTTTGCATCTTTGAAGATCTGCTCTGTGTGTAAAAACATGTTTGCACCTTTAAGACATAAACCTTCTGAAGATCAGGACCTTCAGTACGGGAAATGAAGGAAAAATCAGGGAAAGTTTGACTCTTTCACAGATCAATGGTCTGATGTACTACTAGAAATGTCTTAAGTTAGTTGAAGAATATGGAATCCTCAGTCACTGCAAAAACGTTCTGAAGATGAGTAAAATTTTCTTTAAATAAGTGTATTTACCCTTAATTTGTGAAGGAAAATAAGACGATCTGCCAATGAAATTATTATTTTTGCCCTTAAAGTAAAATATTTTGATATATTGCATTTGATATATGAAGCTGCAGTTATTTTCTTATTTTAAATGTAAATTATCTTATTCCATTGGCAAAGTGTCTCGTTTAACTGTTTAGTTCAAGAAAAAAAATCACTTATTTTCAGAAAAAATTACTAAAATTTCTTACAAAAAGTGATCTACCGTACATTTTTTTGCTGTGGTGATGTAAAAGAATTTTAATTGTAATGTAAAATCTCGTCAGTGTTTTTATACAGAGATGAAAACTTAGTTGCAGCAATAAATCCAATTAACTTTTCCTCCATAAGTATTTAAAAAGATACAGTACATGTTATAAAACTGTTCTTATATTGGAACAATTTAAATAGAAATGTAAATAGAATGTCTGCCATAAAAGGTTGAGTTCTTTTCCAAGATATTTAACTTTTTTAAACTTAAAATTCTGTGTTTTTTAAATTTTCTTATTTATTTACTGGAATTTGATGTAATAGTTTAAAGGAACATAAAACTGAAATGGAAGGAAGATCAAGATTATTTGAGAAGTTGGGTGATACCTTTGTCCAATTACATCTGCCACTTGGTTTGTCTTTAGACATTAGACCTTAAAAATGAGCTTCATTGTGTGATGGACGGTGCGTGCAAACAGCAGTGGGTTTATCCCTGAACTGACTGTGCCATCTCTAAAAACATTGCAGCTTTTCATGTGGGGTTGTTGTCCTGCTCCACTTGATGAACCTCCACTCAACTTTCAAGTCTTTTTTTCTAAACCTACTAGAATCATCTTTCTTTTAGTTTTATCCATCTTCACATCAAAAAAAGTTAATTGTTTTAAATGGGGGTATAAATGCTGAAATACTTTTCAGAAAAGTCAAAATTTAATTCTTCATTTAACATTCTGAGAAATGACAAAATATCAGTTTTTAGATTTTTAAATACAAATTGATTTATATCGTTTATGATGCATTAGACATTTCTGTGCAGTTTATTATGCATTTTCCATTGCATGAATCTGTTTTTTTAGAAAAATAAAGATATCACGCTGATGTAAGGGTCTCAAACACTCATGTATCAGATATGATACACTTGACGTTAAAAGGCTGAGGACAAATAAAAGCCATAGGTTCAAGATTTCATTTTCTTCTCACTGTGTATTCTTGGCTTTTCTGATCCACTGTAAATAAACTTTCAATACACACCCCTCTTTCAGGGAGTTGGAATCTGACATTAAGGAGGACTTCCTGGGTAGGATTGGGGATGCGTTTGGAGTTGAGAGTCCTGAAGCTGCTCACCTTTACACTCTTCTCCAGCAGTGCATGGATCACAGAGAATCTGTGAGTAAAGCCTCCCACTAAAACAGGTTTGGTGTGTTGTAAGATACAAACGGCTGCATCGCTGTCTCTTCGACCAACAGATCACCATCTTCGACTCCGACTCAGACGAGCAGATGTCAATCGATGCAGCCATTTTGAGCTCTGTTCTCAAAGGTACATCTGGTCTCCTTCTACATAAAAGTCTTGACTCCTCAAATAAGTGGACACTATTTTAGTAACACATCACAACTTTTATCATTTAAATAATTTAGGAACCAAATGATAATCTTTGTTAAATTGCGTTTATTTCTTTTGTAGAAGTTCAATAAACTAGATTAAATATTAAAATAAAAATGCAGAGAAATTGGCTCTGCTTATTTTGAACTTTTTTTTCTGAATGAAACAGGAACCAAAGCAAGTCCATCAGGACAGCTGAGGTTGGCTCTGGCTTGGGATCGAGCTGATATTGCACAGAAAGACATCCTGGTGTATGGTCAGCACTGGCATGTAAGAGCCGCTGAGGACAGGAGTTGCTCCTGTGATTTAATTCTCAATCAGGCTTCGTTCTTTGTCTTTCTTTACCATCATATCATTTGCGTTATGTAGATGGGCTCCCTGGAACAAGCAATGCTGGATGCTCTGGTGATGGACCGGGTCAGTTTTGTGAAATTGCTGATCGACAATGGCATGACCATGAGCCGCTTCCTCACAGTGGATCGTCTTGAGGAGCTCTACAACTCAGTAATCCTACTATTATTTCCTTTTTTTTTTTTTCTTACTCATTCTCTTTTTGTTTTTGCTTCCTTGATTGTGCAATTATGTTGGTCAATGTCAACCAAATAACATTGTATTTGCTGAGCAGAGTGCGTTAAAGCAGTTCTTGGTTGATTAAATTTTTTTCTGTGATGCTTTAACCAAAACTGGTGTTAAAGTGTACAATCTCATCAAAATGGGGGGAAAGAAACATTACCGGCAAAAATTTTAAATCAAACTGAATAGTGTTTTTTTAATTACTCAAAGTAACAATATATCTGTATAGTTCTAGTCTTGGTCTATAAAAAAAAAAAAAAAAAAAAAAAAATCTGCTTTATTTATACAAAACTGATGCTCTTTTAGTAGTAACTCAGTACGTTTAGAGGTCATCTACATCCATGGTGTTCAGGCAGATCTTGATTTCTGATGCTTTTACTGTGGAAAAAGCTGTTTGCAGATAATTTATATTCTTTCATTTTCCACTCTCTTTATTTCATGTGTTTTAGTCTAATTATTCTCAACTCTTGATCCAATTAGAAAACAGAAATATCCTGAGAGCCGCTGCTGTTTAAAAATATTTTTTTTCCTGTGTTTTCCAAGTTCACATTTTCTTTTCCTTTTTATAAGTAAAGTCAAACAAGCGTTTCTCTCCAGTCACAGGGTCAGACTCAGCGCTTCTTGCAGCACCTTGTTGAAGATGCAAAACAGGTGAATGAAAATATCACCACACACATAAACCAAATAAATTTACAGCTCATACCCAGATGCATGTTTAGACATTTGGATCTTAACGAAAAGAACATTTTAATTTATAAGTATTAAGAAAAAATAAAAATCTGATATAGATTCATTATGCACAGTCGTATATTTAAAACATTTATTACTGTTATTTCTATTATTATGTCTTAAATGTAATAAAAAAGCAAAAATTTCCATCTTAGAATATTTGTTTATTTACATTTTTTTTTAAATCCAAAACATTGAAAAGGATTTTTAATCCATACATATAACTTTATAGCCAAAATAATCATCAAATGCCTTTTGAATGAAAGACATTAGTAATGGGATTAAATGTCCACAAAAAAAGTTTTGTAGAGATTTTTAGGAATTTTTTTAGTGATGATTGTAGCCGTGCTACGAAAGATACAATTAATGTTTTCTATATAACATATTATTTTCACTTTTTGGATTGGATTTGCTGAAACAAACAAACTTGTCAGTGATATTTTACTTGCAGCGAGACCAGCGTGTTTATTCATTATGTACTTTGTGTGGGTAGACCTCTCTTCCTATAGGTTACCGCCCGTCTCTCATTGACATGGGCCTGGTGATAGAATACCTCATCGGAGGGGCATATCGAAGCTCCTACACTCGGAAAAACTTCAGAGCTGCTTACAGTCGCATGCAGGGCAGAGTGAGCAGAGGAACTTAGTTTGTCTTTTTTTACTCTCCTGCTAAAATGTTACAATGTTTGTATTTTGCGAGATGTTTAAGAGTTTTTTTCATGTTTCTTTATAGGAGAGTGGACAGGACAGCTCTAGTTCCTTTAGTAATCAAAGAGGACGGATGAGCTTAAAGAGTAGAAGTCTCCAGGATCTGCATTTCTTCAGAACGGCCCAACCCTACAGAAGCAAAGTAGGTGACCTGACTGTCTTTTAAAAACTCATCATAAGCTTAATTTTATAAGAAAATCCTTTTTGGTGGACTCTCTTGACTGCTATCTTTCCCAAATTTCATTTATTTTTTGTTTCCAGGATCAAACTGTGTCAACTGGGAGCACTCATTTGGTTGTGTTGACTCCCAGTGTCACTGGCACCCTGCTGCCCTGTCCTTTCAACTTCAATGACCTGTTTGTCTGGGCTGTACTCCAGCAACGCCAGCAGATGGCACTGTTCTTGTGGCAACATGGGGAGGAAGCGCTGGCGAGAGCTATTGTGGGCTGTAAGCTTTATCGCTCCATGGCCTTTGAGGCGCGGCAGAGCAACATGGATGACATTATTGCGGAACGATTCAAGGCATATTCACTGTGAGTAGTTTAGAAACATTCTACAATATAAATCACATTTAAAATGATCTGCACCTAAGGGTGGATTTTTAATAGCATGCTTTAAAAAAAGGGGGGGAAACCACATTGCTGATCAATCCGGCAAGGTTACCCTACTTTATTCAGTCTTAATCAGCTGATCAACTCATAGTAGAGTTTATAAACAAATGAAATTTAGGATTTAAGAAAAAGCGCTCATTCTTAGGTCCTGTACTGCAAAAATTAAAGTATGTAGAGGTCGATTTTCTTAAAATAAATGCATTTTTACTTTATTTCCAGAGGTCAGTAAGACATTTTGACAGTAAATTAAGATAATGTATGTTTAAGATAAGACAAAAACAACTCCATGATATTAGGTCAAGTTTATAATAGCTAATTATCTCAGTTTACAATTGAAAATACTCATTCATTGGCAAATCATCTTGCTTACCCTCTCAGAGTATGGAGTCTTAAATTGTCTACTGAAATTAAACTAAATGATAAAAATAATAATGATTAAGAATATTATGTTTAAAGATAATAAAACATCACTTAAATAGAGAAAAAGCAAATACATAAGTTGTTCATGCTGTTTTCTTGTACCTAAGGTTAATAGGCTACTTAGAAATGTTCATATCCCAACCAGCCAAACAATACTTTTGGTCATGAGACCATTCCGCTACTCACTATTTTTTATTTGAGGGGTCATATGCCAAAAAGTTTGAGAAAAATGATTTAAATCTTGATTATTGAATCAGTTTTTATCACAATGGTTCAAAAAGTTTCATTAACTTTATATCATTGCAAGTCATGTCTTTTGGAGATCAGTCCTAAGATGCACCGATGTGATACGTGGATCTGATATCGGCTCCAATATTGACTAATTAGAATAATTTAAAATAAGTGCTTTGATATCTGATATTGGAGATCCCATCCCGTTTACTCAGCACAGTTTTTTATTTTGCTTTTTGCTGCTTATTTGTTCATAAGTAATATAGATCACCTTTTATGTTTGTGTTCATGTGCCTTTAGCCTCAATGTTTACATTGAGGCTAAAGGCTTCACTCACATGAAAAGAAATATGGTTAATTCTAGGATTGCAACCAAAGAAAAATTGTCAGCCAAAACCCAAAACAAAAAGCCTGTCTGCTGCGCTCTGAACTCTGACAAACTCTGCTGCGCCACCTATGCTCTTTTGCTTCACTCCTTTTCTTCACATAGTCAACAGCATTTCTGCGTGCTGTTCGCTTGCTGTCCTTTCCCTCCATTTCGGATGTGCCGTTTTTTTCACATCATCCCAAGTTTCGGCCATGTTGTTTCGAAATTAAATGTTTATCAGCCAAAAACCTAAAATTTCTGCTGAAAGTTTTTGGTGGCCAAATTTTCTTTGCATCCTTATTCAATTCATTCAATTGTTGAATCAGGTCAATATCAGATGTTTGTGAATACACTCAATCCAGGTATTATTAAACAGATCGGTGCATCTCTTCATTTTTTTTCTTTTTTTTAAGAGATAAGCTTTTAACTTGTTTGCTGTTTGATGGACAAATGAGTCATCTCTGGTTTGGTTTTTTTATTTAGAATGCTGTACATGTAAAATATGGCCAATATTTTAATTGATATTGCATTTTAAAAATTCTTCCTTTTGTAATAATTTTTTGTCACCTACAGGTCCTTCTCAAAATATTAGCATGTTGTGATAAAGTTCATTATTTTCCATAATGTTATGATAAAACTTGAACATTCATATATTTTAGATTCATTGCGCACTAACTGAAATATTTCAGGTATTTTATTGTCTTAATACGGACCTGTATTTTGGTTTGTGGGCTAGTGCAAATTATAGAACTGTGTTTTATTTTACTGCAAATACGCTTGTTTTTCCTCTCTCCATGTTCACCAGGGAGTTTGGTCAGCTGGCAGTGGACGTGTTAGATTGTGCATTTCAGCAGAACGAGCAAATGGCCATGAAACTGTTAACCTCAGAGATGGAGGCATGGAGTAATTTCACATGTCTGCAGCTGGCTGTCTCTTCGTGTCATAGGCCATTTGTGTCACACTCTTGCACTCAGACTCTGCTCACAGATCTCTGGACCGGTCCACTCAACATGAGAAAAAACTCCTTTATGAAGGTAAACACAAGATAAGGGAAAAAGGCACTCCATGCTTGGATTTCCTTCTTCTTATTGGGAGATACTGTAAAATGTCTTATTAATGAGGTCCAAGCATGGATCTCACTTTTACTATTACTGTTGGGAAATGGAATGTTTTTTTAATAGTTTGATCTCCCTATAAATCCAGCTGATCTTTGAAGGCCTGTTAGACAACGCTGGTGAGCAAACAGCAATGTAAAGTTTAAGGAACATAACAGACGGGTCAGGGATAGAGTTATGAAAAGGTTTTGAGGATTACACGATCCAAAATTCCAGCCTTCACCGAAGATGAAGGGATGCACATCTCATCTGGAAAAGTCTGTGCACTGGATGAGTAAATCATACACTCCACAAATCCATTCCTTTACCAAGAAAGCCATTTCTCAATCCAGATAGAAGACACAGAAAACTTGTAGAAGATACTCTGGTCAGTGAGATGGTGGCAGCACCATCTTGCTGTGAAACCCCCCCATTATGGACAAAGAAGCTATTAGGATTTAATGGTATAAATGATGGAGCATAATGCTGGAAAACTCTAAACGGGTTGAGATGACTGTACACACAAAGCCAGAGGTACTAAGAAAAGTCACAAATATTTGGTAAGACTTTAGATTTGCTGGTCATGGAAAGTCTTAATCCAGTTTTATCAAAAGTTACGAGTTAAGATGTGCACAGCTGGGACTGACATATAAGGTACTGACTCAGTAAGGCTAAATGCAGATACGTGTCCCACCATTCAGGTTTTCAAGAATTAAAACAATTTGAAAAAAATATTCTAAAAACCCTTTTTTTTGTCCACTGCTTCGAACTTGAAAGTACTTATGCAAACTCCTGGGAGTCTCATTGAGTTCATCTTATAGGTTTTCCCTCAGTGACGTATATCATTTAACTGGTTTCATTAAAAAAACACAGAACTTAGTTTTTCTTCCAAATTTTTTCCTTTATTTTATGATTTGCTAAGGGATCATGAAGCACCTACTGTTTCTCTTTCAGATTATTTTGAGCCTTCTCCTGCCTCCTGCCATCTTGCTCCTGGAGTTCAAAAGCAAAGCTGAAATGTGCCACGTGCCACAGAGCCATGAGACGCCGCTGTTTGGGATTGAGCCTGTGAAATCACTGCCAGTTCCTAAGGGATCTGATCAGATGGTAGTATGTCAACTTCTAGACTCCTCTCTCTCTAATGTTTCATCACATGACATCATTTCTCCTCTTATCCTTGCAGGACAGTGTGGATGCAGAGCGAGGCCTCCCGTTTCATGATAAATCTGTCGGTTCTGCATCAGAAATGGTGTCCAATGCATTTAGACAGTGCCTTTCCTGGATCAAACGGATGTATGATTTTTACACCGCTCCTGTTGTCAAATTCTGGTTCCACACAGTAGGTTGGGTGCATTGTTTCTCTGTATGATTTACATTTATGATCAATGTAAAGAGCAAATCTAAATCAGTTTTTCCCTGAATTCTTTTGTCTCTAGATGTTCTACTTGTGCTTCCTGATGCTGTTCTCCTATGTCATCCTGGTGAAGATGGAGGAATCGCCAAGTGTTCTGGAGTGGCTGGTTATTGCTTACATTATATCCACTGCAGTTGAGAAAACCAGAGAAGTGAGTTACACTGCATAGAGTTTTAGGTCATTTTGCAAGCTGGTGTTTACATTTTTTGGCTATAGTACAATAAAGTTAATGTCACTGCACTAAAAAACGGTTTTAAAACATTTTCTTCTTTTTAGGTATTAATGTCTGAACCGAGGAAGCTGAGGCAGAAGCTGAAGGTTTGGTTCTCAGAGTACTGGAACATATCAGACTTTGTTGCCATCCTTCTGTTCCTGGTTGGGCTGGTGATGCGTTGGCTTGGTGATCCCTACCACACTACAGGACGCATTTCTTACTGTTTAGACATCATCTTCTGGTTCGTCAGAGTTTTGGATCTTCTAGCTGTCAATCAGCATGCTGGTCCTTACCTCACCATGATCACCAAGATGGTGAGTAAGACCTCTTCTGCCCACAAAGGAGATCATTATGAAGTGGAAAAATCCCTGTCTTTTTCTTTCCTATGTATACCCAGACCAGTAACATGTCCTTCATCGTGGTGATGATGGCAATTGTACTTCTGAGCTTCGGCGTGTCCAGGAAGGCCATCTTGTCCCCAGATCAGGAGCCATCATGGTATCTAGCTCGAGATATAGTCTTCCAGCCCTACTGGATGATCTTTGGAGAAGTCTACGCTGGAGAACTTGACTGTAGGTGGATCATTAGAAAACTGTTCAATTGCTACTGCATCAGAATTTTATATTTAGCTGAGACTTTAGGCTCACATGGCTCTACAACATAACCTCATCAACAGGGCTGTCTAAACCCCCCTAGTGGTTTACAGTACTGTGGGGGGGGGGGGGGGGGGGGGGGGGGGGGTAATAAATGTAAAAAAGTTTGTATTAGCATTTACAACATTTCTTAAACTACAAAAAAAGTACTATTGTGGAGTAAGAAAAGTTGGAGGTATCTCTGCAACACAGGCTCCAAGCGAAGGTCATGAGAGATAAGAATGAGTTACACAGCTTCCTTCCAGCATGAAGGAGAGGACTGTTGTTTAGGAGAAGATTCATCTGGCCAGTGAAAGAAATATTAACCTGACAGGGATTGGCCTTGAACAACTCAAGTTGTTTTTCGTCCAAATGTTCAAGTGTGACATGGTTCTTTATTCAGGGGGTGGGTTGGTTCCCCCGGGGGGAGTGTGTGTAATTTTGTAAGGTATAAATGTTTGTACTGAGGTTGCCTCAGTCAGAGCCTCATCTATCCGTCTGAGGATGTTAAATAAATTTGAACGTTTTTTCTTGCAAGAAATGCCTCTGTCTCAGCTTCCTAACTCCACATTATTTATTACCTTTACACTGTAACAAAAAATTTGGACTTTGCATAAAGATCTGATAACTGAAATAAAATATCTTTAGGCTAAAATTAGTTTTAAAACCCTCTGGGTTTATGGGGTCAAATCAACACATTTCAATGCATTTTTCTGCTCTCTTAACTGACTATTAAAAACTTCTGTCTTGTGATATTTGGTGGCATCAGAGAGCCCGTCTGGGTTTTTTTTTTTTTTTTTTTTTTTTTTTTTTTGTGTGTGTTGATATAAATGTGATGATGCACATCAAACACACATATTTCATCCTTCATTGCTGTTCTCGATCAATATTACTTACACCTGCTTTTTCTTTTTTGTTTTAATATTCTATTTTTGCATTATTGCCAAACATCTATTTCGGTTGAAAATTTAACCTTTAGTTGAAAGGACTTTTCGCTATGCTGCGAGTTCCAAGAAGTCAGATTTCTTTCCATATTTTTCTAATTGTTTCTAATTATCCTTTTCTGAACCTATCTCAGGCCTGCGGTTCTGGGTTTCATTGGAATTAATGTTCTGGTTTCCAAGAGAAGAAAAAAGTTAAAACCACTTCTTTTCCCATATTTCTTCTCTGAAAATCTTTAACTTCTGTTTTTGCATCATAATGTTGAAAAACCCTGTTTTAATAGCATCATGCTTTGGTGGATATTTGATCTTTTTTGCCTCCAAAACTGAATTGAGAATTTTAAGATGTGGCATTTGCTGCTAAGTTTAATCACTGTGGTAATTGAATAAACATCATTTATACGATTCAAACAAAATACAGTTAACGCATTTCATCAGTGTTTCATGTAGTGGTCATCGATGCTCTGGTTACTTTCTTGGCTGATGAAATATTTGGTCGGCTTCCTGTGATATGCACGTCTAGTTCAGTGAAGGAAGCCATGTTTTTTGTTCTGTTGCGTGACACAGTCATGCATAAAGCCTTTTTATTGTTAACCTGGTTGTAAAGGTTTTGTTTACTTTAATATCACATCTTTAGCTTTATTGTTGTGTTCAGTTGGATGTTACGGTTTGCTATTAGGAACTTTATCACCATTTCATCACACTGCTTTTTAAGACTTAGTTTCTTATTTTAAATGTCCAAGTTCACACAAAAATCTAAATTCAGTGTTGTTAAATGAATGATTACACTTGTTTAAGACCATTTTTCTTCAGAATCAGAGTTTTTATTTAGTGTAAAGGTACCGTCATATGCAGTGCAGTAACTAGTTAATCATCCAGAAGTTTTTTTTGTTTGTATTTTTTCAGTTTTGAAACTGTTTCAAACCTTTGTACCATTGGTGTGTCTCTGTCTTCACAGCGTGTGCTGAAGACGATTCCTGTCCTCCAGCATATTTTCTATCCCCACTTCTACAGGCCGTCTACATGTTCGTCCAGTACATTATCATGGTCAACATCCTTATTGCATTTTTCAAGTGAGCCCCTCTCCTTTTAGTCTAGCGAAAATATAAATTTGACAAAAACGGTTTGATGTAAATATATGTTGCTTCGTCTCCAATAGCAACATCTATTTTGATATGGCCTCAATTTCCAACAAATTGTGGAAGTACAACCGGGTACCGCTACATAAGGACCTATCAGGAGAGGCCGTGGCTGCCCCCACCCCTCATCCTCCTCAGTCACATGGCTCTTGCTGTGAGAAAGATCTACAGGAGGTTTTGTGGAGATGCTGAGCGAGAAGAGAAGCGCTCTGGATTAAGTGAGTACCAAAAGTATTTGTGGTGAGCAGAACTGTGCTGTTATTTTTTTACTCCATCATGTTGCTCAGTAAAAGCATTTCTATTTATTTTTTCTCTTTTCTGAAATAGAACTCTATCTGGGTTTTGAGGATAAAAAGAAGCTGTATGAGTTTGAGGAGAAATGTGTTGAAGTTTACTTTCATGAGAAGAATAAAGATCTCCACAGCACTCAAATGAGCAGGATTGGAGCCACAGCTGAGAGGTTTGTTGGATTTTGGGGTGCACGCTTGAACAAAAAAAATATGAAACCTTTTAGCAGCATTACTGTAAGTTGGTATAATAACATTGTAACTATAGAAAACCATCTGTTGTTGTACCTCTAGAGCTGATGAGATGTGTGGAATGGTGGGAGAGGTCTCAGAGAAGGTAGACTTCATCCAAGACAGCCTGTCAGAGTTGGACGGTCAGCTCGGGCAGCTTCAGGACCTCTCTGCGCTGGCTGTGGACACCCTCACCCTGCTCTCTGCCTCCGACAGCCTTCATCAGGAAGAGGCCCGCCTGGCGCAATGTCGTCGCATCTCTGCAGCAAACCATCACGTCCTCCCTCACAGCTGGGCCCTTCCTCACAGGGGAGGAGAAGAGTGGGACGTTTCTAACGCGCGCCGCCTGATGATCAAAGGCTGTAAAAGCACCCCACCCTCTTTACTAAAGGGCTTCACTCTCGAGGGGAGTCGACAAGTATCTCAGAAGCACCACGTTGAAGTCAGACGAGGCAGAGAGGGAAAAGATGGAGAGGAAACTGCAGGAGAGGTGCCTAAAGCCCAAGCTATAATTACATTTTCTAACTTAATTGTTTATCTCTAAATGAGTAAAATGATCACAAACATATAATTTAAGTAAACACATATTCTCCACAGGTTTCCACATTGGCCTTTGTTGAAGATCTTGATGAGAAACAGTTCAGAGACTCTAGACTTGAACCACACGATTCCTCCCCTCACTTCTTTCTTGGTGGTCAAAAGAATAAGACGCCTTCTGAGTCTGCTGAGTCGTCCCGCTGCGGGTCTCCTACTTTTCTCAAAGCCTTCGGGACGCCACATAACAAACCTTGGACATATGAGCCGTATTTGTATTCCAGTCAGCAGGAAGCTACGATGGAAGAAGGAGAAGAGGATGCTGAGGAAGAAGAAATAACAGAGGAAGATCTACCACACATGGAGGTATTTGTGGCCTGTGGTAAATGTTCAACACTAGAACTGTTAAACTGCGGCGGAAGTTGTTTGGCCTCAGTCCCCCACGCCATGTTAAAATGACCTTTCTTATGAAAAACCAGCAGGCCCGCCCCAACCGGTTAATAATGTTACCCCTCCCACCGGTAAGAGAATTTTCATAGAGCTGCTCAGGCTTCTGTCCGCCCAGGCAAACTCATCAGTCCCTTTCCTTATGTAAATTATGTTTTTAATGAACGTCAGCTGATCCGATTTTGTTAGGATGTATGAATGTTTTTCTGCAGAATGAGATAAACAAACTCAAATAGTAAACAATTACTGCATAATTATCAGTTCAATGGATTACTATGGCTAGGCTATAGATTTTTGTTTTTAAGGGAATAACGTCATAACATTAAGAGAATAATGTAACAATATAAAGTCATAATATTATCACAATAAATTCATAGAAGAAATTGCCTCTTTCATGGAGGAAGAGCTGTCTGGTAATTGTCTACCAGACAGCTCTTTGGATCCAGAAAAGTTTGGTACTTTCTTCGATACAGAGATTTATCACGTGTTTGTACCACTGAATGTAATACAGTTGGAAGATAAATCTAAATGTTTTTTTATTTTAATCTCAATCTTCTGAGAACTCTGCTGGCAGCATAGTGGTTTGAAATAATTCCAGCAACTGATCTGAAAACTCTGATCATGAATTTACATTTAATGACAAATATGATTTACCGGTAATTAAAAATATCCTCTGAAGCACGTGTCATCATAATTTGTCAGTCATGATGATTGATGATTGAGTTCGTCTGGGAGAACGGGAGCCTGAGCAACTCTTGGCGATTCTCACCGCTGTGGGAGGGGTAGTGTAGGAGGTGAAATAGGAGAGTGGCAGCAATATTCAGAAGGGGCAGAAATGAGCTGAAGGACAGGGACAGGAGTATGAGGCAGGCAAGGAGAAAATTGAAATCCTGTTAATTTAACACTGTCTGACCCTGACTTTCACAATGTTTTATAACCTTTTCTCAGGAAACAAGTTTTCCATCGAGACATTCTAGCCATTGGAGGAAACCCCCGATATGTCCCAGGTGGACGTGTGCACCCAGAGTGTGTCCATTTGGGTACTGCAGGTCTCTGTCTTCCAGCATGGAGAACATGGCTTTTTCTGGTGCTCCTCTCAGTCCAACGAAGGGATCTTTCCCATCTCTCAAAGACGCTATGAACAAGGAGATCATGTTTGACAGAGGAGGGTCAAGAGATGATGCTCCTTTACGGTGCAGTAAAAGCCAAGGTAAGATTACTTGTACAACTTTTATGTCCTGGGTTAAATATTGTTTTTTTATCCTGTTTATTTGTGTCTGCAGAATGGGCAAAGTCCCCAGCCTTCTGCCAGGACATGGACAGCAGAGGGAAAATCCCCAACCGGAAGACCGTAAAGATAAAAGACAGCACTCCAGATCCAGTAATGGGATCGTGAACACAACACTCACGTTTCCCCTTCTAGATGGAGTGATTATTATGCTGACCATGCACAAAATCTCTGTTTCTGTCTCTCAAATGTTTATGAAAACAGGAGACCTTGGAGTCCCGCTTGTCTGATGCCTTCTGGAAAAAACGTCGAAGGCTTATTGGAGGAGCTACATGTTGGTCAGCTTCAGCCAGCCTCAGTCAGCTAAGTAAGGATCTACATTTACCACACAAAATAATGAACTGGCACTGAAGTGCTGCATGCTTTTGGAAGTAAAGAGTGCGTTTCCAGCCCCATTTAGTCTGATATGCCTAAATAATGTCTAATGCAGTAAATTGTCTAAAGAAGTTACCCATTTACTAACTGTAGTCCACCTGTGTGTAATTTTCTTTTTCAATTAGAAATCAGGGAGGTGTATGCAGGTCCCTATAACTGATAACCCAGAATAAGATCCAGAGAAACCAGTGCAGGTTTGGTATGGATCCAGTATCAAAAGTACAAGGGATACAGTCTGGGAGAATATAATGGTTAAGTTTAGGACAGATGTCATTCAGTATCCAAAGGTTTTAAAATCACACAGAGTTCTGTCTTGTCTCTCTTCTGAGAGTGGAAAGAGTTGAAACCCATCAGCTGATGACAATCCATTTAGACCAGAGGTCACGGATTAGCGGACCGCGGTCCGGATCCAGACCCACCTGCTGGCTGATGCGAACACAACCTGATTTAAAACACTTATAAATTACTGCATGTTGTCCGACGGCAGTGTCTAACTTCTCTTGCGCTGCTTCTCCTGTTAATACAGTACGGAACGCCCGGGACCAGGCTGCACTAGGGGTGGAATAGTTCACAAAATCCACGGTTCGGTTCAGTTCACGGTTTCGTGGTCACGGTTTTCGGTTCGGTATATGTTTATTGTTACACCGAAAAATAAAAATTAATGAAATTTTTTTTTAAAGAAATTAATGAAAAAATCCAAAAAAATTAATGAATTGCAATTATTTTTAATGATCCGCGGAAACCATGGGTCATTTCCGCATGTTTTGCTGCTTTGAATTTAATCATCTCACGCATGCTCTCTACGATCTACAAGAAACTCAGAGCGGAGCGGACGGGAGCCACAGCGGAGGCTGTAGGCTTTGCTTTGTGCAGGCGGTCTGGAGTGCAGCGGGGAGGAGCGCTGACGGAGTATGTGGGATTTCGGGGTTAGCATGACATGTTGGTCATGTTGCTGTTAGCATAAACAAAACGTGCTGCACAATGCTTGCACACTGTTGCACTTTTATCCACAACTTTCTTTCCGCCGTCATCGTAGGTCACTCTAAATGCAAAGTGGTCCCATACAGCAGACCTATAAAGTGCTGCTGGCGCGTCAACTCCTGTCAGGGGTTGAGGTTAAGGATTTTTACCACGTGCCCGACTTTCACATTTCAATTGCCCAGAAACAATTTTTACTTGCCCAGTATAATGTTTGATAATATAGTTCCTAATATTCATTTTTGTATATATATCAATGAAACATGTTTGTTTTTTAAACGTTTTTTGTAATTCAGTATTTTTTAATTTTACAGGTTCCTGGTGTGTATATGCATGCCTCAGATAATGAACTCAAGCCTACATTACCGTGTTAACATGCCTTTCAATCCTTCCTGCACATTCTTTTCAAACTAAACTTTCCTTTAAACTTTTGTGTGCTTGGGAAAAATACAAATTGTAATGTTAAAAATCTAAAAAAAAAACTTGACGTGTTAAAAACTTAAGATAAATCACAAGATAGAAGTCAATATCACAAATGAATAACTTCTTTTAGAGTCACAGTATGTTTATACAAGATAATACTATTAATATAATGTGACTTTTCTAGAGAATCATTATACAGTTATTTTATACAGGGTTTCCACAGTTTTACATAATTTCAGAATTCCCTGACTTTTAACTGACTCATGGATTAGTTTTCCCTGAAAAAATAAATGCAGCAACAAGACAATAATAATAACATAACAGGTCACCAATCTAACATGTTTAGCTCTATAACATTTAAATGCACCACTCCAATGTGTGAGAGAAAAAAATTTATGAACATTTTTTAATGTATGACCTGCATCACTGTACAGAAGACTGCCATATGATAGCGCTTTCTAGCTTGTTTGTCGTTTTGGTAACTACATCAAAATTACCGCTAGGTTGACAAAAATCACGCCATCTGCCTAAAAAATCTCATGGCTTTTTCAAATCACGCGTCTTTTTCAAATCACGCGACAATGTGTACAAAACAACAAAGATGGCGCCGGCTGGGTCGTTTTCAGCTAATGTCGGTGATTTTAAAGTAATTTTGAGTGATAAATAATTTTTTTTGCGATCACTGCACTTGCCCGGCGGGCAAATGCAATGAAATGCCGACAATAAAAAGTACTTGCCCCGGGCGTTCGGGCAATGGTTAACATTGAGCCCTGCCTGTTCTTTCCCACTCGCCATACCCACACAATTCTCCACAACACCTGATTTTTTTCTGCTACACCCGGCTATGCTGCTTCGCTTCTTCTTCTTCTTGTTTACTACTGGTGGTTGGCTTTGGTCGCAGTACCGCCACCTTCTGCTCTGGAGTGTAAACGCTTCGCCTATGAGAAAATGGAGCAGCGCATGAACCGAACGCAACACACGCGAACCGAACCGAGACAGTCGAACCGAACGGTTCGGACGGTTTTCATAAGCCGTTCCATCCCTAGGCTACACGTGATACAAATTAGCCAATGAGCTGTGTCAGTTTGGGTTGCTGCTGCTAGCTACTTTTAGACACAGCAGGTTAACCTTTGGCAGGCCGGGCGGTGGGAAAGGAGAATACGATGAGCAGGGGAAGTGTGGACTTCTGGAAAAACTGCGGTGAACTGGCTTGAAGCAGGTTTCTCCGCCATGAACATAATCAAAAATAAATATCGACCCAGGCTCATGAATGAGCACCTTGATATGTGCTTTAGGATGGCTGTGTCGCCATTCATACCCAGGTTTAAACCTTGCAGGGCAGCATAAAGCCCACTTAATCTCATTAAGCCATGAAAAAGAAAACAAAACAAATAGTCAGTTCAGGTGTTTTATAAAATATGTGAATCAGGAAATTGTCTATATACCAAACTGAACGATTTTACTTCAAAAAACACTTTAGATTTTAAAATGGAGAAATTTTCTTTTTTTATATATTTTTCTATTTAAAAATGCAATGTATAACATGGATGCATAAACACTCATTTTATTTCAGTGTTAAATTCTGTTTAAAATAAAAGATTGTAATTAAAAATGTCTCCGTACCTTTACTGGTTGATTTTCTTTATTCAGAGCCCGCTGATATTTAATTGGTTACCCCTGATCTAAACTATACACCTAAACCCACCATCCTCACCTTGAAGCATGGTGGTGGCAGCATCATACTGTGGAGATGCTTTTTTTGGGTTGGGTCCAAATTGATTGATGAGGCCGAATACAAAGCTAGAGGCTGCATCAACCTTTCCCAGCAAGAATGCAACCCTCAGAAGAAGAATGGGTGAAGCTAGTTTAGACATACATCCGACCTGGAGCTTTAGATACACTAAAGTATGAGCTGAATATATATATAGTTATGTCAAGCTTTTACAAACTTAAAAAAACGTCCAAAGTTCATATTTTTGCAATTGTTCTTTATAAACTTTATCAAGGGTCCAGCTTTATGTTGAGCATTTCTATAAACATTGTTTCAGATTCTGACTCCACTGACTCGATGCAGAAGCAGCTGTTCTCCCATCAGGTAAACTCTCGAATTATGAAGAGTCTATTTACAATGTGAGTAAAATGTCTGAATTATAACCTGGGGTCTCTTTATTAACAGGAGATGTGGAGCCCCACTCATTCAGCATGGAACAGCCGGGCGCGATCAGTGGGCCGCAGGTCGTCGTAAGTCTCTCCTTCCTTTCATAACCAATAGAAACCTTGGAATATTTCAATGACAGCTTTCCTTACATCTGTGTTGCAGTTTGCAGAGTGGATTTGCCCCAGAAGGTATTTCTTAACCTTCAGAACATTGAATTTGCTGTATTAGTTTGTTTATGCAGTATGCTGAGATCAACATTTTATTATTTTAGTTCTAATTTTCTTTTGTTTGCTGAAGTGAAGAGCTCCTCCTTCCAGTCCAGTGACAACCTGTACCCACACTTTTCAGGTATCGACCTCATAAAGAAGATTAATGTTATTCAACCAGATATACATGCTTTTGTTTACCTTTTTTATTTTGTAGCTGTTTACCCTTTTTAGTTTATATAATTTATTATTTTAATGCCTTTACCTTTTTGTGTTTCTCTTTTTAGCAATGGAAAGAAACAATCTAATGAGACTGGCTCACAACATCCCCTTTACTCCTGTTTCTATTTTGGGTAACATCCTTAATTATTGTTAAAGCGCTTCTTTTTATCAAACAAAACCTTTTTTTTGTACCTTTCTCCGTTATTGAGCTTTTTCTTCAAATTTCTTCAGGAGGTGAAGAAGTGAGTGTGTTTTCTCTGACTGAGGTCTGCTCTGAAGCTGAATCTGGATCCAGCTCGGTCTCTTCCTGGTCCTCCCGAGGTCTGTCTGCAATGCTGAAGCCGCTTTCTAGTGAGGAGGGTTCCTTGGATGGGGGTCTCCGGCAAGGCTGCAGAGTGCTGTGTACCTGGGCAGAACAGGACGTGCTGAAGCCTGGTCAGATATATGTGGTCAAAGCCTTTAAGCCGGAGGTGATTCGTGCTTGGCAAAGGTACTTCCATGGCAGCACCGCATTGCAGCTCTGTTTAAGGGTATGTCTCCAAACCAAACCAAAGTGCTTTTTAAGCAAGAAATTGCCAAAATATTTATTTTACTTACCAATTTTTTTTAGGCTTTTTGATTTTTAACTCTGTGATCAATACCTTTAATCTCTTGAAGGAGATCCAGCAGCAGAGAGCGGCCCAAAAGATGATTAAGGTCTTTAACCAGATCAAACCCAAATATATAGATCACTCGCCAAGGTGTGTGAGCGTTCCTTTGTTCTCTGAAGGTGCTTGTTTGCGTGTTCTCACCTTTGCTTCCTCTCTGCTAGATTTCTAGATGTTTCCCTGGTCCTCTGGCACTCTAATGGACACTGGTTGACCATTGAGAGAAATCTAATAGGCAACTTCAGGAAATACAATAACAACACAGGGGAGGAGATCGCCCCCTGCTGTTCATTAGAGGAGGTGCTGTTGGCATTTTCCCATTGGACCTATGAGTATTCACGGAGAGAAATGTTGGTGCTGGACATACAAGGTAAGTGTTTCACTATTTCAGATATTTCGATGCATCTATGAGTGCGTACGATTCTATTTGTTGTGGTTTTATCTCTTATTGTGCTGATGACAGGAGTGGGAGAGCAGCTGACGGATCCCACAGTCGTCATGGCAGATGACCAAAGGTACTCCGATCTAAAATCACTAACTGTGGTTTCAGAGTTCATGTTAGGGTTGGGGGAGAAGGTTGATGCTCTTGTTGCCTATTTTGTAGCTGTAGCAGGGGTGAGATGCTCTTTGGTCCCGATAACCTTGGAGAAGTTGCCATCAGTGGCTTCCTGCAGAAGCACTCCTGTAACTCCTGTTGCCGCAGACTGGGCCTAAAAGGTCAGAAATGTCACACATTTCCAGAACCAGTAAGATAAAAGAATAGTCAGCCTTTGAATGGGATCCATACTGTTGGAACATTTTATGAAGTCCGTCTCATTGCAACCACAAAAACTACTAAATGCTTTTTATGGTTTTATCTGATAAACAGACAAAAATTAGCACAGAAGAAAGTTCACTTTCAGAAATTTTCTGAAGTTTAGATAAATCTGAAAACACAATATTTCTTGATATTTATCCCTCTTTTATTCAAATACCCCTAAATAAAAATCTAGTGCAACTAACTGCTTTCAAAATTGCCTTATTAGTTAATAAAATACACTGTTTCACTCACAACTCACGCTTTTCTCTGAAACCTTTAGTTTGATAAACTAGAAACCGTCATGAAAACCAAAGAACACAGCAGATTGTTGAGATGAAGATTAAAGCAGGGCTTGTTTCTAAAACTGCTGATTTTTAAAATCATCTTGCTGTTCATTTAAATTTAAACCTGCAAATTCTTGGTCATCCACCTGAACAAGCACTTGAGTTGTGATGTCACCACACCGTAACTTTTGAGGCAGGAAGCATCGTAGGCAAAATCTGAGAAAAAATGTTGTGATGTCCTGTTAATACTCTTCCAGCAGGACAAATCTTAACATACAACCAGAGCTAAAAAGTATTATTTAGATCAAAACAGATGCATTAGAAATCCACAATCAGAGTCTAGACCTGAATCTAAAAGATCTTTTGTAGAACATCACAGATTCTCTCCATTGAATCTAACGAGCTAGCATAGCACTGAGACAGTTGATCCAAAATCAGTAAATATTTTGTTGTATCTTTCATATGAGCCGGCAGGTGAAATCGTCTGCTGAGGGGATGAGTATTTTGCCGCCTAAAATCAGATGATTGCTTTTGCCAGGGAGGTTATGTTTTCAGTTGTTTGTTGGTTTGTTATGTAACAGGATTACATGAAAAGTTATGAACGGATTTAAATTGAGGTTTTTACCTGAGATGCATCTCATGTTAAAGAACGATACATTTTGGTGATGATCCAGATCATATGTTTGTGGTTTAGTTGTAAGTCACAGTATGGGGTAACATTTTTTTGCTCCTGCTTTGTAGACAGGAATTGAGATATAATAATTCGAGTTATTTTTTTCCGTATTATTATGTGATTGCAAACTTGTGATTTTTTTTTTTTTTCGTTTTTCTTACCTACTTGAATCATTATCAAGAAAATTGTACATTTACTTTGGGCAAAATATTAATCTCTTTGAATATTTATGCTTTTTTAAGGGACTGAAAGTGGGTTTGGTGATGTTTAAATAACTTCAAAACCCGGTTTTCTTTCTGATTGTGTTGTTTTACATAACTGCGTTGATCCCTCTCACATAAGTGTGCATATGCCTATTCGAATGTCACCTCGGTGTCGTCACTCCTGAGGCCACGTTGGCTCTGAGAGAAATCCCCGACAACTTCAAATGAAGGAGGCACGCACCAGCAGCCAGCTAATTAAGCAGCGAGTCTTCGTTTATTTCTCTAACAACAGTAGCGTTTGAGGCATGGGGGTGGGCCCTGCTTTGTGCGTTGTGCTGTGCGGCCTTTGATTACGTATTAATCATGTCTTTGTGCTGGCAATGTGCTGCTGAGACATTAGCTTTGATTAGCTATTAATTAATGTCTCTGGGTAGACACGATACTGGCATCTAGAGGATAACTGCGTGGAAAGAAACTGCACTCGAAAACAAACAAGCCCAGCAAACAAACAGACGAAGGCAAACACTTAGACACAGTTGTTTTGATATTTCAAAGGTGCGTCGTGTTTGCTCTTCCTTTTTCTTGTGTCCTCTCCAAGATATCTCCCAACAAATCAAACCAAATTATTCATGCTGGATGCATGGACTTCCTCCCAGGCCTGTCAGTATTCTCTTTCTTGTGATAATCACTGTGTTATTGGAGTGGCGTGTCGCTAACTGATGTTTTCTGTTGTTCAGATTTAAGGAGGCTCCCGGGCAACTGCGAGAATAACAGTGATGTAGAGCAGACGTCGGGGAAGAAAGAAGGAGACGGCCATTAGAACGAGATGTAACTTTTGACCAAGGAAGGATGCAAGGGGGAAAACAAACACAAATGCACTTATTCCAACAAAGATGTTTTTCTGAACAATATCACCCTTTATTTGTTTACAATGTAAACTGCCTGATAAGAAGAGATAGGCGTCTGTCTTCAGAGGTTAAGTTTTTATCTGAACTTTCATAAAGCAAATAAAGAGGAAGCTAAAAGGAATACCTACACTTTTGTATAGATTTCTTAAAAGGCTTTATCATTGAATTGTTGTAAACTCGCACTACGAGATTGTAGCTAGAATCTAAAATGAAACTGATCTGTTTTTTTTGTAAGTAGAAAAATAAAGGCAGAAATGCACTCATTAAATTTCATTTATTTTTTTTCTTCCCACAACAAAATGTCTACAAAAGCGATTAAAATATAGAATTTAACAAAAATCACTTCAGACCTTCACATTGTATTTACATCTCAAAGGAGGACTCACTGAGGTCCCTGCAAAGCTCTGAACCTCTCCCCAGTCTGGTCTTTCACTTCTGGCTGTGTGAGACTCCCTTTAATAACATACGCCTGCATGCAAATGTGCTCTCCTCATTGAGTGAGAACGGAGGCTGTAGATGTGTTATTTATAGTGGAGCCAGATGTTCAGAGTCCAGCAGAGGCCCCAACAAGTAAAAAAAGAAAAGCATAAAATGTAAAAACAGTTCATTAGTGTAATCAAATACACATTTCCCTCCCAGTTTCCTCCTTTTGTTTTTTTCTTTTGTATTGGTTTTCTCATGTAAACTCACACAGTAAAGCATCTAAGCCCCATACTGCCAATCCTTTACCGCCTCACTATCTATGGCACTTTGAAAAAAATAAAAAATAAACTTTTAAATTGTGTTACTTTTAGATGTTTTCATCTTTTTGTCAGGTGTGTTTAAGAGTTTCTGCTGCCCAGGTATCTTTCTTTTAGCTTCCAGGCACAGATTGACACTTTTTAGTTTTTTATTTGCTCTTGCTCAGATGCAAAAACAATCTGAAAAATAAATTAATAAATGAGGAAAAAAAACTCCAATTGCACAGACATTATAATGCATCAAGAAATTTTACAAAGCATTGGTAGAGCAAACTTTGCCGCGCTCTTCTGCTTCTCTTTCGTACACACACAAGCTAAAACACATTTTCTTCATATAAAGGAGGAGGTATGGACTTGGTCTCAATAAGTCTATGAAATTTTTTTCTTGTTCTAAATCAGCTGTAATAAAATGCAGCATGGACGGCTGCTGTTGTGCGCTTGCTGATGTCATTCTGTGTTGATGGAGCAGTAAAAGGCGCATGATGTGTCCAGACCCCCCTCAAGCTGAACAGCCTGCTCCATAACATTCAGAATTGATACCCCCCCTCCCCTTCCCAGCAGATAAAGGGTTTCAAAAAGGCCCGTTTACAGAAGGTTGTTCATTTACTGGTTTGTAATCCACACATTCAGAAGGTGGGGGAAAAAAAATTCCAATGACAAATTTCAAATTAATTCCATATAAATTAGAAATTTTATTTAGAAAAAAAAAATCAGCTTGTGAAAAAAAAAAAAAAAGTTTTGAACTGACTAAAGAGATGTGAAATCTGCCCTAAACCCATAACCCACCATTTTTCAAAGGTCTCCCTCACATTATCGTGAGAGGAGGAATCACAAATAAGCCCCGGATATTTCATTGCAATGAAACGTCATGCAAATAGAACAGAACAACAATAGGCTAATAGTAATAGAAGAATAGTAGTCATAATAAGAACAATAATAATAGTAAATAGTAATAACATAAAAATAAACTTACAATGCAAACATGACAGTAGTAAATGCCTCCAATTCTTATTGCTACAGTATTTAAACTTACAGTGTTGGTTACCACTTGTTCTTGCCAGCACATCACCATCCCTCCCACCCCGACTCATTATTCCCAGTTTCACCCCTATGATTCACAGTCTAACCAGGGAAAAACAAACAAGCTAATTAAATTCACAAAAATGATTCAGAGTTGGAATTCACTGTCCCTGGATCGCTGTCCCACCAGTGGACTTCACCCACTGTCCTGGGACCAGCAAACAAGAGCGTACAGTAATAACGAGCACAGTGACATCTCCTATAGACTTTTTTTTATTTTTTATTTAGGGAGTAGAAATTGCTCATCATAAACTCTGGGTCTCTACAATGATTCGGACAGTGAATTCACTCTCTACACACATACGGACAAACATACATACGTAGACGTATATGCCTATGAAAGCCTTGTCTGGGTAGATTTTTTTTAAAAATCCTAAAAAGTAATTCTTTTAAAGTTTTTTTTTTTTATTTCGGTAAGTTTTCAAAAATATTAAACCCTCTTTTAATGCAAAGTGAGAAAAAGAGCTGCTCCCTGAGAGATGCTGAGTAGTGCATCAAGTCTTAATGAGCAAGTGATTGTCTTTTAAAGTGATCCGTGGTGTCATTTGGGAGGGGGGGGGGACTGTGCTTTGAACAACAAGGACATTAATGGTGGAAAATTGGAATGTTGATTGACAAATGTTCTGGCATTTTGCCCCCAATACATTAGAAACAAAGCAAACGAATAACAATGCAATGATTTCTGGTGTTCCTGATGCTGACGGATGGATTAAAAGCCTGACTGTGTTTCTGGTTATATCCCTAGATCCACTGAAGGATTTGGCCACTGTGCAAAAAACACGAATTTGCATGAGAAACCATTTAGAGTGCTTTAAAACACAAGATCTTAGCCCATTAATCATGGCATCTAAGGATGAATTGGGAAAAAAGGTTTAGCTAAGATCGTCTTCTTGTCCAACACATATTGATGAAGCGGGAATTAAATCAGGTGTGCTTCCAAAAGTTTTCATCTTTTGAATCCAAAAATTGACTAAAGTTAAATGGGGCCAAGACCTTACACTGAGAAGGAAGTTATTTCTCAAGAACCCAACTTTGGAAAATCTGCTCTAACTGGTTCCTCTTTTTGGTCAGTGGCTCATGTTGATGTTGCTGAGATGCCTTACTGCTTATTAGGGATCTGTTTTTACTCTAATGCAAGCAACTGATGTGTCCTCCTTTAAAACAAAAATAAACGAGATAATGGGGAGCTCCAGCCCAGTGTTTGCAAACACTAAATAGTGTTTTAAGTGCTACCCGTTGTGTAGAAAATGAACGATTGTCTAACTTTCTACATAAATGGCAGACGATAAAGCTCAGCTAGGTCTGCGTGTTGAGATCAACGCCGACTGCATTTCTTGACATTTTCGGGATGTGATTTTAGCCACACTGAGCAGAGTTGGTGAGGGAATGCCTACCGTCTGTCATGATTGTGAGACATTGTCAATTAAGAGAAAATAATACAGTGCATCCTTAGACTTGCTACCCTGTTTATAACAGCTCAGGAGAAGGGAAATGGAAAGTATTGACACCAGACATGCTGTTTGAAAGTTATTGCTCTCTAGAGAAAAGGGTCCCACATATACAGCCTGGGGGGAGTGGCTGATATCCATTGGCTGGATTGTGCAAATTGGACGGCGAGGGCATACAGCACCTATGTAGATTTTAGTGACTGTTTTTAATTCAAGTTTGTGTGGATTCTTTTCACATTTTAAGGATAATCACTACATGTGTGAAATGTCTCTGACTTATCTACTCATATCCGAACGAAAAAGTCCTGATAGTTCAGTGTATTTGAGAGCAGACTGCGTTAGGAGGCGATGCGGGCTCCAATGTGAGGCCCCTGTTTCTGATTGGTTCCTTCTGGTTGATTGTTCCACAGCAATCTAGCTAGTATCGAACATAATTATTGCAGCGAGAAATAAACGACTGATAGGATGGCAAATCTGCCAGATTCTTTTCCTTGCAAAATAGATCATTTATGTATATATCTTCACATTGAAAAGTAGTAGTTTAAATCCTTCATATCCTCTCTTTACATTTCAATAAGTTTTGATCAGAAGGACGGTAACACCTTCTATACATATGAACAAAATCCAGACAAGGCTTCTGAATATCAACAAACCCAAAACTTGCTCCCAGTTTTTGCCCAGTTTTCTTTTCAAGTCTCAACTTTACAAATTCTGTACACAAGAATCTATCAAATAAAATAGGAACACATAGACAAGGTATCAACAGCCAGTCTGGGCGGCTGTATATTTAAATTAGGACTAACTTATTTTAACAGAAAAAGAAATAATACTGGAATCTGCTCTCAGCTAGAAGAATATCTACAATAGCTTTTCTAAATCCACAGTTCCCTCCCCCATCCAGCTTCCCACAAATAACAATGTCTTCACTGGAAAAAAAAGAAAACCTTTTTTTTTTTAAAGATCAAATTAACTTACCCACCTTTTTAACAACAAAAAAAAAAAGTTTGACTGCTTAAAATTGTTTGTAGTTGTTGTTAAACTCTGTACATTTCTGGTCAGTTCATTTCTGGAGACACCTTGAACCCCCTCTGAGGTTGTGGCTTGGGGCACGCTTCACTTGTATATACATTCTTCAGACTGTATCGGTGAACAGGATGGGATAAGTGCAGGACATTCCTAGTATTGTTGGTATAGTAACTCTTAAGTTTCTAGCTGATGAATCCTCACCCACCAGCCTGGAAGGAGCCTGGGAGAGCTCCAAAAACATCTGTAGTTGCCAGAATGGCCGAGAGTGTCTTGTCAGATAACAGCTGACACATTTTCTTGGTCCGTTTTCTTCAACTGTTCATTGCATTTGGACCGCAGGGCGGTCACTTAGGCATGGCCATGGCAGAGTTTGGGTCGGGGTTAAACAGTTCCTTGTAGAGCGGAGGGAAGAGAACGTTGACGGTTTCTGGGTGGAGTTGCTGGAATGCCTGAAGCTCCTCAGTGTGGAGTGTACACAGGGCAGATAGTGTCGGGATCCGGCTGATCAGCTGTTAAACAAGGACAACAGTATTAAGAACCATTTGTTTTTGGTTGCCAGAAAAAAAACTATGATTGCGATGATTGCATTCAATATTTTTTGTAAATTCTTCAGCCTACCTTGGCTAGTGCATCTTCATCCATGTGGTTCTTCTGCATAATATGCTGCAAAGCAAAGTAGATCTTCTCTTGGAGCTTCTGGACTTTTCGAGGCTCCATCAGCCATGGCCGATCTGCGGAGACATGAGATTTCTTCAGTGTTAAAGTTGATGCGGAATAATAGAGCTGACCTTCCACTCTCCACTAAGGTTGAACTGAATTTCTCCAGCTATGAAAAAGACAATAAGGCTTGAGTCATTATGTGTTTTTCATAATTACTTTGAGAGCTAATATAACTGCAGTTTGGAAACCCTGTTACCTTAATGGGAGCAATGAGTGACACTCCATTTGATTGAGTGTAATTCTTACTTT